GCAAGAAGAGGAGAAGCTAAGTTCTGCAATCATTCAAAAAAAAAGATTTAAAGAAAAAGAAAGAGATGAAGTAATTTTGAGGCTGACCACCTTAGAATCTACGGTCAAATAAGTATAGTATATGATAACTCATGTGGGGCCGAATGTTTAGTATATGGTAAGTACTTTTTTTTTGATAAACTTATATATATGGTAAGTATTGTTCATATAAGGTCAAGTAAACCTATACTAAATGGGAAATATATAGACTATTGGTTATCTCTCCGTGGCTTGTGGCTTGTTTAAGATATTCGTTTTGGGATTTATCTTCGTTGTATAATAGATAATGGTCACCTTAGAATCTACGGTCAAATAAGTAGTATCATCTAGGGTCGAATGCTTAGTATATGGTAAGTATTGTTTCACATGGACATCAAAACATTGTTTCTAACTGCCGTGAGATCTTCAAGGGTTCTGTGAACTATGCGTGGACCAGTGTTCCAACATACCCTAGTGACGTTTTGTGTAAAAGAAAGAAAATGTTTTGTATTCATGTTTTCTTGATTACAACAGAGACCATTACAAGGTATATATACACGAGAGCTAACGTCACAAAACCCTAGAATAAGACTTGGCGACCAAGTAAATCATAAGTCGGCTAAGCCCATATATAAACGTAGCCCAATACCGTTAATACTCCCCCTCAAGTTGGAGTGTGAATATCGAGAACACCCAACTTGGACATCAACGTGTAGAACTGAACTCTTCCCAATGCCTTTGTTAACACATCCGCCAACTGAGCTGAAGAGGGTACATGAACCGTGGTAATCAAACCGTCTTTAATAGCATCTCGTACACGATGACAATCAATCTCCACATGTTTAGTTCTCTCATGGAAGACCGGGTTTGCCGCGATGTGAATGGCAGCCTTGCTATCACAAAACAAACATATGGGTTGCGGTGGCGGGAAACCCATATCACTTAACAACTGACGTAACCACTTGATCTCTCATGTAGCTTTAGACATGGCTCTATATTCTGCCTCAGCTGAAGAATGATAAACAACATCTTGCTTTTTAGTTTTCCACGAAATAGGTGATCCACCAAGAAGAGCAACGTACGCTGTTAAAGATCGTCGCGTCGTTCGACAAGTACCCCAATCGGCATCACAATACACAGAGAGTTCTAAATTCGAGTCACCACGCAACAAAATTCCTTGACCAGCAGTCCCTTTAAGAAAACGTACCACTCTCAACGCAGCCTCCATATGATTTGCACGAGGCTTTTGCATAAATTGAGATAATACATGAACAGAGTATGAGAGGTCAGGTCGCGTATTAGTAATAGTAAGATAAAAATATGCTTATTGACCCCCATAAAAATTTGTTTCAAATAGATTTGTAATCTTAAGAAACGGAGGAGTTTATTTTTTCACGAGATGTGGTGTTTCGAGAAAATGAATTTCCCTTTGCCAAGCCAGAAAACTCAAAGTTGTTAGCTCAAGAGAGTGGTTTTGTCGATGAAGATTGGGCAATTAATGAAACCCCATATGTCGATGACAGGGGGAGCTTACCTACGGTGGCTGGCGGAGTTGTTGCCGAGACCGAATCGGTTACTGTTCAAGATGGAGAGACCGACACGGCTGCGACCGTTGTCCCATTGGCGCCAGAACCTATTGTGAGTGAATCACCAATGGTAATTGACGATGCTATTATTGAGATTGGACCAGTGGTGGGTTCTTCTCAAGAAGAAGAAGCTTTAGGTGTTGGTAAGCGACAAAAATTCCCAAACGTACGGTTACAAGATTATGTGACACATCACGTTACAAAGAAAGATAATACACCTCCCTCACCTCACGTTCTCTCCGATCCCACCATAACAGAGTCTTCTTCGGTCCAAGGTATTTCTTTATACCCACTCACAGATTATATATCTGATTCAAATTTTTCTATGGCGCACAAGGCATTTTTGGCAGCAGTAACCGCAGAACGCGAACCTACGAGTTACAAGGAGGCAATTCGAGATAAAAGATGGACCAAAGCAATGGGAACAGAGGTTGATGCTTTAGAGAGAAACAAAACTTGGAGTATTGAGGATTTGCCTCCCGGAAAGGTGGCGCTTGGTAACATGTGGGTTTACAAAATCAAATACCATGCCGATGGAACAATCGAGAGATACAAGGCACGTTTAGTCGTTTTGGGCAATCATCAAAAGGAAGGGATAGACTTTAAAGAAACTTTTGCTCCTGTGGTTAAAATGACCACCGTACGTAGTCTGTTAAGAATTGTTACAGCACAAAATTGGGAGGTACATCAAATGGATGTTCATAATGCGTTTCTTCATGGTGATTTACATGAAGAGGTCTATATGAAGCTTCCGCAAGGTTTCTCACATCCTGATTCTAAAAAGGTGTGTCGTTTACACAAGGCTCTTTACGGTTTGCGCCAAGCACCAAGATGTTGGTTTGAAAAGCTCACTACGGCGCTTACGGATGCAGGGTTCGTACAATCTTATGCCGATTACTCGCTATTTGGTTATTCACGTGGCAATGTAGAGCTAAGGGTGTTAATTTATGTCGATGATTTGGTTATTTGTGGAAATGACCATGATTCTTTGGTCAATTTCAAGTCGTATCTCGAAAAGTGCTTCCACATGAAGGATTTAGGCAAGCTCAAATATTTTCTTGGGATAGAAATTGCTCGCAGCAAAGAAGGTATGATGATGACGCAAAGAAAATACGCCTTAGACATTGTGAAAGAAACAGGTTTACTAGGCTCTAAGCCGGCTATTACTCCGATGGAACAAAACCATCAATTGGAATTAGATACGAGTAAGGTTATCTCTGACCCTGCAAGATACAGACGATTGGTTGGTCGTTTGATTTATCTTACTAATACGCGACCTGACCTCTCATACTCTGTTCATGTATTATCTCAATTTATGCAAAAGCCTCGTGCAAATCATATGGAGGCTGCGTTGAGAGTGGTACGTTTTCTTAAAGGGACTGCTGGTCAAGGAATTTTGTTGCGTGGTGACTCGAATTTAGAACTCTCTGTGTATTGTGATGCCGATTGGGGTACTTGTCGAACGACGCGACGATCTTTAACAGCGTACGTTGCTCTTCTTGGTGGATCACCTATTTCGTGGAAAACTAAAAAGCAAGATGTTGTTTCTCATTCTTCAGCTGAGGCAGAATATAGAGCCATGTCTAAAGCTACAGGAGAGATCAAGTGGTTACGTCAGTTGTTAAGTGATATGGGTTTCCCGCCACCGCAACCCATACGTTTGTTTTGTGATAGCAAGGCTGCCATTCACATCGCGGCAAACCCGGTCTTCCATGAGAGAACTAAACATGTGGAGATTGATTGTCATCGTGTACGAGATGCTATTAAAGACGGTTTGATTACCACGGTTCATGTACCCTCTTCAGCTCAGTTGGCGGATGTGTTAACAAAGGCATTGGGAAGAGTTCAGTTCTACACGTTGATGTCCAAGTTGGGTGTTCTCGATATTCACACTCCAACTTGAGGGGGAGTATTAACGGTATTGGGCTACGTTTGTATATGGGCTTAGCCGACTTATGATTTACTTGGTCGCCAAGTCTTATTCTAGGGTTTTGTGACGTTAGCTCTCGTGTATATATACCTTGTAATGGTCTCTGTTGTAATCAAGAAAACACAAATACAAAACATTTTCTTTCTTTTACACAAAACGTCACTAGGGTATGTTGGAACACTGGTCCACGCATAGTTCACAGAACCCTTGAAGATCTCACGGCAGTTAGAAACAATGTTTTCGATGATGTCCATGTGAAACAATACTTACCATATACTAAGCATTCGACCCTAGATGATACTACTTATTTGACCGTAGATTCTAAGGTGACCATTATCTATTATACAACGAAGATAAATCCCAAAACGAATATCTTAAACAAGCCACAAGCCACGGAGAGATAACCAATAGTCTATATATTTCCCATTTAGTATAGGTTTACTTGACCTTATATGAACAATACTTACCATATATATAAGTTTATCAAAAAAAAAGTACTTACCATATACTAAACATTCGGCCCCACATGAGTTATCATATACTATACTTATTTGACCGTAGATTCTAAGGTGGTCAGCCTCAAAATTACTTCATCTCTTTCTTTTTCTTTAAATCTTTTTTTTTGAATGATTGCAGAACTTAGCTTCTCCTCTTCTTGCTAAAGCTATTCAAGGTAATCTTTGAGCTTGTCTTCTTTTATGCTGAAATCTAATCAGGAATATAAGAGTTTCTCTGTATTGTTGTTTAGCTTTTAAGAAGAAGGATTTGTAATTCTTCATGAAAGCTTTGTTCTGAAATATACTCTGTTTCTGGAATTCGAATAGCATTTATACAAATGAAACTTTAAATGATCGAATGTGTTGATTGACTTCCATTTTTGCTTAATGATAGATCTGATATTTCTATTGTCCGTTATTTAATTAAAATCTTTGCCTGTATGGGAAAAAAAAATGGAACTTCTTAATGATATTTGTTTGTAATAACAGATGTTGTTAGATAATTCAATACTCAGTAAGTAGTGAATGATACTAAGAGCAGTGACATGCTTCTAGGCTGCACATATTTATCTCAGGTTTCCTGTCTCTTGTTAGATTGAAACCGACATAGTCTTGAGTCGTCTATTTGCTTTGTTCTATCTGTTTTCGATGGTTTCAGTTGTGGGTTAGGTGTGTGTTGATGGATCTGTTGGGTTCCATTTGAGTTATTAAATTATAGGATTCATAAGAAAATATACATATTTTGTTGTATACGAATAGAACAATCATTTAGTAATAGCTGAGGCATTTGGGTCTGTGTTTCAATTGCAAAACACAAGTGGTTTAAGTGAGGGACATGATTGTCCTCTCAAGGAACTAACTGTGTTTCACGTGCAAACACAAGTGGTTTGGGTCTGTGTTGACATCATTATAAAAGGGATTGCTGAAAATGCGAGGAAAAAGTGGTGTGGATGAATTCTGCGGAGCCGGATCAATAATGTTGAATTATTTAACAAAGGACCAATAGTCTAACTCTAAATCCGAAACAAAATCTTAAACCCGAAAAAAAGAAACAAGTTTGGGTCCAGGCCCAACAAACAACTTTCAAGCCCGCCCATGTAAAATACAATCGTACTATTCGTCTTCGAAGAAGTCAATCCTAGCGAAGTTCGAGGGCCTGTCGTACCTCAACCAGACACTTCCCTGACAGTGCTGGACGGAGACTGTCACAGAATCGCCGTCCCAAAACACAGTAACCACCGGATGAGGGGACTCAGGCAAGGTGGTGTGAGTGAATGTCGGGCCAGTCCAGAAGAGGAGAACCTTGATGGTTGCACCGCAACGACACTCAAATTCGATCTCGACTCGGTGGTTAGTCCTCTGGACATGGTAAATACCCAGCACATCTACATCTGCCATACCTGAAAATAACAAATGATTAGATCAAAATCAAAAACCAATCTATAAATCCTAAACCCTAAATCCAAAAACTTTTAGGGTTTTAGGGTCTGACAAAAAGAAGTGCAATTAACAAAACGATACCACGAAAATTAAGTCAGCCGAACAAAAAACACTCAAAATCAAATACAGAAATTAGAAAAATAAAAGGAAATCGGTGAGAAAAACCAAAAATGGACGTAAAAGTTATTCGCTAATCGCAGCGGATAGGGCGAAGCAAAAAAAGCAACAATCGATGACGATAAACAAAACAAAACCACGAAAATTAGGTCAGCCGAAAACAAAAAGACACTCAAAATCAAATACAGAAGTTAGAGAAGATAGAGGAAAATCGGTGAGAAAAACCTAAAATGGAAGTGGGTTTTACGCAGTCGCCAATTTCTCGCGTGTAAAGGGTGAGAGGTGATTGTTTCCTTTTAAAGACGCCACCTTGAGATTTCTTTAAGGTAGGTCTTAGAAAACGGCGACGTTTCAAATGCTGTTGTCACTTAATTCAAGAAAATGGGCTTTATGGGCCGGCTCAATTAAACTATAACTAGTATATAACCCGTGCTACAGCACGGGCGGATTTTTTCTTTGTAACAAGGAAGACCTTGATTGAGACAGAGCAAAAGTTAGAGACTGCCCTTGCTGATCATAACTTCGCTAAAGGCGAGATTGAGCTTCTGAGATCGGAGCTTAACAAGGTTAAAGCAGTTGATGAGGAGCTCGAACGTAAAAATGAGTCTCTTTCCGAACTGAAAGATTGTGATGTTCGTAAAATATCTCATGATGCTCGGAAAGAGGTTAAAGGAGCTGGGCAAAAGTTTCTTCTCGCTGTGCAGGAATTTATCGCTGCAGACAAAGCTTGGAACAAGCTTAACTCCGAACGCGATGAAATGAAGAGCAACCTCGATTTGATCAAAGAGATAGAGGATGGAAAAGTCGATTTGGCTGAAGAGAAAGAGACGGTTGGTGCCGAGCTAGCTGAGACTAAGGCTAAGCTAAATGCTGCTCCTCAGCCATATTTGAATTTGCAGCAGTTTGCTTCTGAGTTCGCTGATTCCCCTCCGCTGACTGAACCAAATATTGGTTTGTCTTTGGACGAGATGATGTTAACCGGTTCTCCTAGCGCTCATTTTAATGAGTTCGGAACCAATGTTGACAGAATCTCCTCGGGACGAGCTCAGGGGCCCTCTGATCAGGGACTTGTCACCTCCTCGGTTATGGGAGATAAGGTTGAATCGAGGAACGAAACTCCTCAAGACATTAGCTCGCTGAATCCTGAAGTGGTTCTCGCGACTCAAGCCGACGACGTCGGGGGTGCTCTTGTCTCAAGTCAAGAAAGAGAGGAAGGCGGTTCGCCTATGAATGAATGATGGTGATTGCATTCACCTTATGTGGGGGATTGTCCCTTTAATTTTTAAGACATGAAATTTGTCTTGTTGGCCATGGGGCCGTTTTATTACTTTTAAGTTTTTCTTTGCCAAAGGGGGCTTTTATTATTATTTTGAATAAATTTCCCAAGGGTGTTTAATTAAAATTTCTTTAGGAAGAAATATTTAATTTTGGTAGAAACCATCGATCTTTTTATATCTGTATCTGTATCACATGAGCAAACTACAATGATTCAAGTGCCACTTTTGTCCTAAAAAATAGAGCCAAATGTACGTTAAAGCGATCAAATGGCTTTGAAGAATTAAAGGTATGCACCATGTGATTTTTTCATCATATTTAAGATTAAATATTACCATCATTTTTGTGAAATCAAATATATATGTATATTTATTTATCTTATTGTTTTGAATATTCGTTTTGGAACTGATAATTTTTATCGATTTATCTCAAAAAAATCTCACTCTAAAACTATAATAAACTTTATTTGGATCAACAAATTGTAATATAATATTATATCTGTTAATTTTTACAGCTTTCTAGTTTAAATTTTTTTAACAATAAGTGAATTTGGGATCTTAACACAATTTGGTGTCCAGATTTTTGTAACATGGGAAAATAATCTATGAACATACAACTAGAGCTATCCCATTTTGGCATTTTCTATTCAGATTTAATATTAATTTTTTTTTAAATAGTTGGCAAGTTTAAGAAATATTCAAATATGTATTACAATTGGACTTAGAATAATCAAAATAAATTAAATTAATATTTTAAAATAAATGTTTTGCCAATAAATATAGTAGAAGATAGAAAAAATAAAAAAGTAGATGAAAAAATATGGCTTTGTTAATTGCAATAAATTTTATTAATATTATTATTATTTTTGAACAAAATACCTTGAGTTTGAAAGCTGCAGGGCGCACAATTTTTACTGGCTTTCATTAAGGGTAAAGAAGAGAAGTGTTATGTTGAGATAATGCAGCTCAAAGATCTATTTTGGGAATGGATGGACTTCCTCTCTTATGTGCAAGGTGGCCTCAATTCTATTGGGAGGAAACGTAAAAGGTTTGTGGAGCATCTGACGAAAAAGAAGCGTGAGAGCGAGCATAAGAGGAAGATGAAAAAGGACAAGAAGAAGGACAAGAAAAAGAAGGCTAACGAGGAGAAGAAGAACATAGATTAAGGCAGCAATTAGATTCGTTTTGCTTTGTTTTTTTAGGATTTAACTTGAGCAGTTTTGAATATAAAGAAATCTTTTGTGTCGTTAAAAAAAAAAAAAAAATACCTTTTCATCATATATATAATTTGTATCGATTAAAAAAACTTTATTTATTTATTTGCTAATTGTAATAACAAAACCTAATTTTGAAAACCAAAGAAACCAAAAAACCCTAAATGGGCTTTTGTGACTACTTCGAAGCTCTGAGCGCCATTATCCATCCACTACCAATATTAACGATAACCGGAAAATACCAAAGAACCGGGTTTTAGATTCTGTGTCGGTTCTTGATACGATTTAGCAGAGTCCTCGTAATTCTTCATCATCCCTGCGAGTCAATTAATTTCCACAAGCAATCTTTGGATTTGATCTGAGTTTAAAGATCTTAAATTTCTTCCAAATTTGAAAACTTGAAGGAACATATGGCAAAACCCAGAAATCTTTTTAGGGTTTGTTCTCTTCTAATGGCGTTTTTGTTTGCTTACTCTGCATCTGTCCAGCTTAATGATCCTGGTATTCAAAATCTTCATTTTCTTATATTCTCTCTCTATAGATTATGTAATGATCTCAACATTTATGTGTTTCTGCAGATTGGTACTTTTGGTTTCCTCTCTACACACTTGCCTGTGTAGTTAATCTGATTAACTGCAGAAGAAGAATATCAAGATCAAGAAGAATCAAACAAATGATTGGAACAGCTCTTAGTTTAGGTCTGTTCTTGTTGGTTAAAGTGGTTGTAGAAGATGTAGTAACAGAGAAAGTTGGAGTCTTGTCTTTAGATCTTACTCATAGAGTGGTTAGAGAGAAGATTGGAAGTGGTTTAGTGATAGCTTCCATGGTTCTGCAACTACAATCTTCTTCAAAAACCATTGACTTTGGTAAGAAGAAAGAAAGATTAATCTTTTAAAAGAAGTTTCAAATTTCAAAAGTTTGATTAGTTTGTTAATGATTTTTCAGGTATGGTTGCAATTGTAATCTTTGGTTTTGGACTTCCCTTTTGGTTTTTCACAATTGAGAAAGGAGAAATCAAGATTTGATTATTTGAAAATTGGGAAAAGAAAAGTTACAAGCTGAAGGAAAATGAATAGTTCCAAAGCTGTCTAAAGAAGGTAAAAAGTCTGAAGGAAAATTATTGAAACAAATCTGCAAAGAATGTTCCTAGGAACCAAAATCTAACTTAAGAGACCTCTGCAATTAGTTGCTTTACAATGGCATGGATGCTCATTTTCTTGTTCAGATGGTACCGGTCTGCGTCCATAGTCTCGGGTGATCTCTTCTCCTGCAGCAATCTGTTTTACATACATGACAGAAAGATTGATTACGGTCCAATACTTTTATACTTCTTTCAAGCAAAAGAGAGAAGAAGAGCCTTACATCCATACTGGCGTATAGACCGATATGAGCGAGCGGGGACTCCATGCTTTCCACAATGACTTGGTGATTGACGAGATTTGGTGAGCAGCTAGAGTTGAAAATAGATTGACATCATCAGTCTTGTAGTAATGTAAAGGTTTTGATACATTGGTAATATAACTCACCTGTGATTGATGAATCGAGAGATGTTTCCATGAGTAGTAGCATCAATAGCATAATCGGGCTCTTCTTCCATCAATCTACCGATGTCGTTGATATTAGCATCAATGTCCAGTAAGTAGCTGCAACCTTCTTTCCCGTACCTATGAAATCAATAGCAGGATTTAAGTTCTGCTCCAAATCTTAAAAGCTGGCGGGTAAAAAGGCGAAAAGAAAAAGAAAGAAAGATATGTACTGGTTTCGCCTCTTGTTTGCCTCTTGCTGGTCAAGAACCTCCCCAATGTATTCGCAAACAAATGTGCCACGCAGTATATGTTCACAAGCTCGCAATCCCCATCCCTGTGGATCAATCAGTTGGATATTGGAGCTGAAGCAAGACAAATGGGTAAAAGACAATGACTCAAAAAGGACCATACCTTGCTTTCAGTTCTAAAAACTTCTAGTTTCACGCGAATTCCATTCTGCAAAACCCGATTCTGACATGTTCTAGAGCATCCACAGAACTTATTGCATTCATAAACAGGATAACCCTCCTGTTACATTTTCAGAATCGACGACAACAATCACCGTTAACCAGAAAATGAGGATCCACAAATATGTTGTCAAGTAGTAACAAGATCTAAAATTACCACAAAATCACTTCAACTGAGAAGTATAACTAAAATTTACCTCCAAGATGATCCGTTGTTTGCCATCATATGGGAATCTAAACATCATGGATTTTCCATATATGTCTCTAGCGTCTTCAAAATCGTTACCGAAAAGGTACACATGATCACAAGTTACAGGCGAGCACACTGAACTGCGACAGCCACACCTGAGTTGCAGATTCTGCATCATTAACAGCAGACGAAAAAACAAGGTTACAACATGAAGTCACAACTCTGTTTCAAGGGTACGACAAGCTAGAAGAAGTAAAATACCTCCTTTACAAGTTCCATTGATGGATGAAGAATTGAGTTTGTAACATAAGTAAAGCTTTCCCAAGGCCTATCATACGGCTTTCCAGAATTCAAAAGACCATCATCGACGACACAAATTGGAACTGATTCCTTACCAAAGCTTATGTCCTTGCACAAAACCGCGGTGTTTCCAAACGGTCTCTTACTAAAATGATGAGCCTCCATGATACAATGGCACTCATCAACTTCCAACTCGAGATTAGAATGTAGTCCAGGGTCCATAGCTATCCCGAATCGATCATTCTCTTGTCGCGGGATCAAAGGACGTAGAAGATTTGGGTCTTTAACAGGCTTACATCCGTTAGAGCATATGTATCCTTCCTGATGCCATTGCACTTGTACACCTTGCTCACCGCAAAGTTTTGCTGCCTTGAGATATATCCGGTCAGGCAAATCCCCGAATTTAGCCTCCAAAGAGGTCTCAAGGCTAACCCTACAGCAAGCCGATCGAGCAGCAGACAGGATATCGAGGTTATTAGGGCGATGTTTCGCTTTCTGAACCTTTGACAACAATATATTCGAAACCACAGAGCAATGAGCATCTGTTGTGCCATCAAAGTTTCTACTGTCATCCGGAGGGGCCGATACTCCAGTGTTTCCTTCCGTGCTGAGCGGTTTAGAACCTTGGATCCTCCTCTTCATATTTACACCAGCCCGGTTTCTAATCCTATATGAGACTGCTCCAAGACTTTTCTTGAATTTATTCGGACGACTAAGCCTACCAGATTTCATCCTGTATGTATTAAACCTTATTCCTTTCTTCGGACCACGAGAGCCAACTAGACTCGTTCCCATGTGTTCAGCTTGATGGTGACGGCCAAGGTCAGGTAATAAATTGAATTTCAGCCCACAGAACTTGCAAACAAATTTATGTACGCCGCTTGTATTCTCGTTGTTTTGGCTCACAACAATTTGTGAACTGCCTGCTTCAGGTTTCTGAGAAGACTCACCATTAGTCAGATTGCACTCAGGAGCAACCGTAATCGATTTGCACTCAGAAGGATGCACAGCTTGCACATGTAACAGCAACTGTTCTTTATCTCCAAAATGGCTGCCACAAGGAATACACTGAAGAAGCATACACTTTTCCGCAAACTGCACGTGATGTCTCTCCTCCACATGAATTTCCAAAAGCTTTCTCTTCACAAAAGAATCTAAGCAAATAGCACAAGCAAATCCACTAAAAGACCATTTCTCTTTGTCTTTGGTTTCTTCTCCTTTATCATCATCCGCCCAGGCATTGGTGATGGCAAGCAGTCGATTAGGATATTCTGATAATGATACATCTTCTTCATCAGCACCAGTAGCGAAACCCCATATCCTAGTTAATCTCTCCCTTTCATTGGAAACCAACTTCATCAAGAATTCCCCAACTCCAACGTCCGCGTTTCTTGAAGCTTCTGCTTTCGCCCAATCAATCTGTACCTCCATTGGGACAGAGTTTCTTAACGATAAGACACTTTTGAAGAGCTTGTAGAAAATATCACAAGCTTGATGTAGAGCTAATTTTTCCTCACGCGATAAACAACCCCTTAAGAGATCTACAAACACTTCCTTCGATATTATCCGACTCTTACCATTCCTCGCACGCTTAAGCCAGTTAGGAAGGTGCTGTTCACAGTATAACGAGTGCTTTGTGGAGAACTCATTGCAAGGAATATAGCTGTTTTCTGAGCAAGAGCCTATACACAAGTTATCCTCTTGGCTACGATGTTCAAACATCTCAGTGAAGCTCGTGGCTCCATGGGGCTCCTGATTCTCGAAAGATGGACCTTCTGGTTCTCCAAACGGCACCAAATCTTGACATTGATTTGTTTCTAAGGTTGACATAATTTCCGCTACCTTTCTCTTCACCAGAAGAGATGAAGAATCATCAGGTTTCTCCATCTCTGTATGAGGGCGGTGTTTCTTGCAGTACAAAAACCCGGGTAGAGATCGGTGCTTGCATTTGGTACCAAGAACAGTAACTCCTCCGCACATTGGTGCTTCAACTGCAGGAGAGCCCTCGTTCTTCGTAGATTTGGTGGTGAAACGAGAAGCTAAATGCACGCAACAATAGACATCACCTTCATTCGCCCACCTCACACATTGTCTTCCTTTCGATTCAATGAAAGCTATGCATTGCTGACTCTTATTTCCCGAACCAAATGGTTTCTTCAAAACTGATTCGTTAATGTGTGGGTGAGACAATCCATTAGTTTCTTTTGTTTTCATGACCTGTGAACCACCTGCTTCAACAACAATGCCATCCCATAGATCCAAACCATTCTCCGGTGTATTCATTAACGGGTTTTCATCTTTCATCGCCTCAGGAGTATTAGTGTTGCCTCGAGAACTAAAAAATTCTGAGTCAATTGCAGTCAATCCTTGTGGTGAAGTATCAGACTCCATCTGTGATCCAATTGTTGTCTCTGCGCGTCGAATCTCAAGTTTTGGTCTTTTACGGCTAGCCTGGACATCTGAGTTAAACTCACTTTTACTATTCGGCTGTGCTATTTCGCCAACACCACGGCGAGATATCGAGAACCATTTCGCAATGTCATGCTTCCACGTTTTCCATTCTGAAAACAACATTGGTTGCATTGGAGACTCAGAAAGTGATTTGACTTCACTCCACTTGATACAATTGTCAAATTCCTAAACATAACCAGATAAAGTGGCTTTAGTTAAGGAAACAATACACATCAATGACACTATCAGCCTCTGGTAAAGCCATTACCTCATTCAGTAATTCAATACTCTCTGCATTCACTGCATTGTTACATTTTTGTACCCACAAAGGAAACGAGTTCTCAAGCCAGATCGGATCCATGTATCGTTGCAAAATCATCTGAACAACATGAACACAAAGATGATATATGATTACAGAAGAATCAAACTACACATACTCTAAACTTAATCGCAACGAGAGCAGCTTACACTGTGAAGCTTCACAAGCATTATCCCAAGATCATGATAACTTGTGCTTCTAGTAGCCTCCATTGCAAATTCTTTCCAGATTATAATATCCCTAGCTGCTTCAGAAACAACCTGCAACATCAAAAGCGTTAAACCAAATGCAATCCAAATTCTTCGGTATGTCGAATACTTAGGTCCAGCTTATACCTCTGAGGGGAATTGGTCAACTATATTGAAAATCCCAACAGTAAGCTTCCTCATAATGTAACGTCGAGCAGCAGTTAAATCTTTAACCAATTTAATTCCAATTTTATGTGACTTATATGCAATAGGATCAGGGAACTCATTGATGGATCGAACAAGCTGCATATCCGCCCATGAGTAGTTTTTTGTATGCGGGAAAAAAATCACACAATACTTTTTCCTATCATGAGTCGGTTTGCCTCTCAAAGTCGTCAATGGCCAGTCCGCTTTCGCACATCTGATTCCAGCCTGCCATTTACCTCTCCACTATAACACCACAAGAAGACACAAAACATTAATCATACAAAAATATCTTCTAATCGAATTTAAGATTCCGTATTTGAATATTACCTTCACCCACAAAGCTATAGGTTCATCTTGTTGCAGCCATTTGGGCTCAGAAGGAGACGACTCGCCTTCGCCATTATTACCAATAGGTCCAGTAACTTCCATAACCGTAACTAAATCGGTACTAGGCTTCACCGCATTGAAATCATCCCCAGGCTCAGGTTTCACCAACAATTCACTTCCAGTAGCCTCCTCAACATCCACGTCAAGAACCAATTCATCCATTTCAACTTCCATAAATCACCACTTAGAAGATATTTCACTTCTTTAAACCCAGGATTTGATAAAACCACACAATTCTACAATAAGAACAGTGGAAAACAAAAACAATAGTCAATACATAAACCATATAAAAAAATTGCTTTCCTAATCAAATTTTTGACATTAACCATAAGAAATTTCTAATAAGGCAAGAAAGTTTCAGACATACGAAGTCAATTATATTACATGAACATTATTGGTACTAATCAGAATTGCTAATCTAACCAATTCAGATCTTATGAAATAAAACTCCTAATTGGGGATGAACAATTAGCTAAAACCCTGAAAATTCCACAAGAAAAAATCACACCAAAAAATCAAGAATTGATCTAAACCCTACATTAGAAAGAACCCAATATTATATAAAAGGTTGGTCCATAGAGAGATCAAAAGAAAGGAATACCAAATTGAAGATCAATAACATGACCAAACAACAAACCCAGGTGGAGGTGACCAAAAAATGTTAAAATGCTGCCACAAAACAAAACAAAGAAAGAGATTTGGTAATTTTAACATTTGGGTAATTGGGTTTTTAATAAGGTCAGGTAACACAATAACTTGTTAGGATACACATGGAAACAGACATGGCGGAATCAAAGGCTAGGTCACGGAAGAAGAACCAACAAAAAAAAAAAAAAAAAAAAGAATTATAAAGTGGGAACACCAAAACACATCATGTATGTGACATATAATAGAAGCAAGCAAATGTTTTTTTTTATAACCTAAAGATTTGGATTTTGGGCATGGAAGGTCACATACCTTGGTGATTTGATCTGTGGTGAGAGAATTGGTTTTGAATTTGAGATTTGAGATTTGTATTAAAAAAAAGAAAAAAGAATTATGGTATGATTCTTATCTTCTGGATTATGAATGAAGATTTTATTGGTCGATGGCATCGGTATTTGGGCATGTACCATGGCCAGAAATGTCGAAAATGGAAGATAATTTTTTTGTCTATGCTATTGCTAGGGATAATTATTTTTATGTGTGGTTTATAAATTGAATTATATGATAAAAATATATATATACGAAAGGAGAATATGTATATGTGTATGTATATATGAGCTTATTAGTAAAGAAAACAAAAGTTAAAATGGGGGTGGTTTTGGTAGCTGTCTATTTCCAAAAAAAAAAAAACACTTGAAGGATAAATGTAAATTTGGATTTTTAAAATGGGTCAGTTTGGCAGTATTATACTTTTTTTTGTTCAAAATAAAATACATTTTTATTAATAAAACAATAATTATGAGAAAAGAAAAGTAGTTTACAAATGTTAGTGGTAATGTATTAGGAAGAAAAGAAGTTACTTAACAGAGTTAAGGATCAGAAACTTTTTGAACACTGTTTTGGTTTCTTTCGAAAGCAAATTCAAGCTTTAAGTTTTAACACAGTAACAATTGGTTTCAAAAAGTTGAAATTTATTGAAATAGTGGTTGAAAGTTGAAATTAAATATATAGTTTCACCAACAAAATTCAGTATAGTATATATAAAATAAGTATAATACCACAAACAAATATTTTCCAAAAAATTATTACTAATTATTTTAGAAAACGTTTCAGAAGTTGAAAAATTCTTAAATTTGTAATTTTTTTAATAAAAAATTTAGGCACAAATAAAAAAAAAGTAAAAAATGTAGTATTTTTGAGAATTATCTTTTCTTAACATACTACGAAGTAAAGTAGGTATAAATAAACCTCAAATATTTTCTCTAAATAAATAAGAAAGAGAGAACTCTTAATTAGTGGTGGACCCATACTCCCTCTGTTTTAAATTAGTCGTCGTTTTAGAAGTTAAACTTTTCTTAAACGAAAACTAATTTAAAACGGATAGAGTAATTTTTTTTATAGGGTAAGAAAAATTAAATATTTGAATCAAACAAATTGAAGTAAAAAAAATGGAATACACATCGAAGATGTAGGATTATTATTTTTTGAATTTGTTGACCAAATAATATTATGAATTATTAATCAACATCAAAATTAAACTAAAAAGATAAGAGTTTTGAGATCTAATTAAAGCTTTAGTAACTTGGAATTTGTGTTCAAAGTTTTAAAGTAGCTGTTATTATATGAATAACGGAGCAAAGAAAACTTAAAGAATTTGGTGCTTTATGAATAGACTCAAAGGACTAGACTAATATTTGGAAAAGTTACAGGGTCAAGTACACAAAAAAATGTTAAAATGCACAAACAATATTTCGGCTTTCGCATAGAGAGATCTTCTAAAGTTCATGTAATGTAACACAATAACTTGTTAAGACACACATGATAACTGGTAACAGGAATGTCCGAGTCAAAGGCTAGGTGACCAACGAGGAACCAAATGATATTGGAACAATTAGATAGAAGAAATATAACAAGGAACACATTTGTGACATAAGAGATCGAAGCAAAAGCAAATGATTTTACCCTAAAGATTGGAGTTTGGGCATGGAAGGTCATACCTTATGATATGCGATATGGATGCAGATTAGAGGTTGAATCTACGAATTTCAGATCTATACTTTGTTTTTTTTTTTTCTGGATATGATTCTTCTCTTTTGGATTGTGATGATTTATAGGTCTAAGGACTACTAGGGTATCAGTATTTGGGGATGTACCATGGCCACAATGTCAAAAAAAGGGAAGAGAAATTCTATGCTAGGGATAACTGTATTGTGTGGTTAAAAATTAAGTAATAAGATAGAAAGATAATATAGGAAAGGGCAAAAATCTATACGTTTCAATTTTAAATGTATGTATGTAAATTGTTTGGTTTTGCTAATGATTATGTTAGCTGTCAATGACAAAAAAAAGTTAAATTACCCTTAAAGATAAATGTAATTTCAATTTCTGATTTTGGGCCAGTAAATATTTTAATATTAACAAAACAATAATTATGACAAATTTTGTTCTATCTTAAACCCATACTATAAACTATGACTTGGATATTACTGAATAACAACAATGGTTTGTTTCTGTTTTACCACAGTCGGTACAAAACATCTTAGCATAAAACAACCTGAAAAAACTTCATAAGCACCTAAAGAACTTACTCAAAGAGATCATCAATCGTAAATTACGCAAATCGTAAATGTTTGAAAGTTGTTTTGAAACAGTGGTTTGATGACCTTCCGAAAAATAATTGGACGTTTAAGTCACTTAGTTTATACATGCAACAAGGGTTCAAATGAGTTGAAAGTCGAGAAAACTATATAGTACTAAATTATTATTCATTATATGAAATTTTAGTTTAATATAATATTTATTGAGCTTTTTTTTTAAGTTACACAATATAGTAAATGTGAAAGTTTTTTAAACATTGGTTAAAAAATTAAAAACATTTAACGTTTAAATCACTTAATTTATAAAACAAGTGTTCAAAGGAGTAAAAAAAATGAGAAAATTTATAAAGTGATTAAATTCTAAGTCATAGTTAAATGGCAATTCTAGTTTAATATTATCTTTGTTGAGCTTTTAAAAGAAAGAATTATTGTAGTCGGAAAATGCTAATGCAAAATGACAAATTTACAGCGGAAAAAACGGCATGGTTAGAACGCAAGAATAACGTGTTATCTTATAAGAGGACACAACATAATATTTTTATAATTAGAAATATTATATTATATCGAAGAATATTATGTATTAAAAATATTGTAGGAAAGTCATCGGAATATTGTCGAAACTTTTCCGATGAATATTGTCGTCAGAAATGTTCGATGGAAACCCTAATGTTTTCTTGTCTATATGATTATTATGTTATGTTACGTCAATACTTAACACTGTTGTGATTTTTTTGTCAACTTGAGTATATATTATTAGATGTTCAACCTTACAATCTAGTCCAGAGAAGAAATATTGATATGTGTATCATTCATAAATCACGTTTGGTATCTCACATAAAACTAATATGTTTTATATTCGTATCAAGTTTGAAGTTAGTTCTCTCTCTTTTTCATGAATTTTTATGGTGTAAGAAGGGGTGAATGGAGTTTAGAAACCTTCTTGTATATTTAAGAGGCATGTTTCCATTTTTTATCGCGAAAAAATAAAATAGGAAAATTGGACACAAAGGAATACATGACGGTCGTGGGTAAGCTAATTGTAGGTGATCTTGTAGTTTGGCGGTCACTGACTTGGACGGAGATTAACCATAAGAAAAAAAAAATGTACAAGCATCGTGCGCGTAAGGACTTGGCGCATCTTGTTGGCGGAACCTTTGTCGGCAGGTAAGGACTTGGCGCATTCCCCAAAGATCATGCCGCAGATGTGGTTTGACAAAGGGCATTCGATCTTTGCAGCCAGTTTGTCGATGTAACACCCAATGTGTTCGATTTTAGGCTGCAAGTTGTACTCCTCCTTCATCTTTACCAACACTTTGAGAGCATCTTCATTCTTGGTTTCAGCCTGAGCATGAGCATACATTAGGGCACGGAATGAGTCAAGATTGGGCTTGATATGGGTTTTCTCCATCTTCCCAAATGCAGCTATCGCCTTCATTGGATCGTATGCCGCATACGCCCAGATCAGGTTCCTCCATGCAGTGTAGCCTGGGGATCTAAGGCTTGAGAAGAACTCACATGCAAGTTCAGGGCGGTTGGCAACTCGGTTGTACAAACTCATCACCATGCCAGCGTGTCGATCATTGTTCCCAAGTCCGAGTTCCAGCACCTCTGAATTTAGCCTTTGCACAACCTCCATTCCAACAATGTCAGCAGCATAACCAAAAAAAATGTTCATTGGAAAGATACATTGTGTGTTCCATCTTTGAATACTTCAGATCCCAAAATAAAACGTAAAATCTCATAACTAAAGTGAAAATACATGTAAAGTGCATGTCAAGTGGAAATACATGTAATTGTAGGTTTCTGTTGTATATTTCGGTTTTTTGTCTTCTTTGTATTTTTTGTAATCGATTTCGCAAATATGAAAATGGTATAAATACTTAACATTGTTACAAAAATAAATGGCATATAAACAAACTATTTTTCCTAAAAAATGAGAGAAAAAATCAGAACAAAGTGAGTGTAAAACCGCGTTTATAAATAACCTTCCATGTTTTGATAAACTAAAGATAAACTAAATAACCTTCCATGTTATATATAGAATTTTACTTGCATTGTGATCATATTCCTTAAATAGTTTCAATAGAAAATTATACGTTTTATCATTTAGACGTGTCGACATCATTAAAAACCTACGGGCATAGCCAAAATTTACTAAACAAAACTCATTAGCAAGATATTTTGTTAACTTAAAGGAAAATGGAATCAATTAAAGAAATGCTTTATATCAAAAAAATTTACTAAACAAAATTCAATGCTTCATATCAAAAATTCATAATTTTCAGTTGTATAATAAGTTTTAATATAAAACTAGAACGATCTATTTAAAATTATCTTTAAGTAAGACTTAAAATTTTAAATTTGTATATAAAACAAAAATGAAATCAATTAAAGAAATGTAAAAGTGGCAGTCTAATAATTACTTAAAATCCTATTAAAAATTAATTACGTCAGTTATTCGTATATAGTTTGGAAGAAGTGTATTATGTATAGTTAATATTATATTTCGTTTGTTCTTGTTCCGCTTAGGACATGATATTTTGTATGGTACCAAAAATTTACATTTGTCTTTTTAAAATATATTTGTTAAATTTGATATGAAATTATGCAAATGTACTGCACTTATGCAAATTTACCTCCTGCACTTATCAACCCGAACTCATACCATTTTTAAATAACAAACTTGAACTATGTAACTGTTAGCCAATTTCAACATAGTTTTTTTTTTTTGTATTTGTTAATGTTGCTTAGAATTATTAAATCATAATTATTTGTTCTTTTGTATCTCAATCATTTATTTTATTCAACTGGCTAAAAGTTACATAATTCAAGTTTGTTACATAATTAATTAATGGGTATATATTGAAATTGGCTAACAATTATATAGTTCAGGTTTGTTATTTAAAATTTATGTAGATTTAGGTTGATAAATGCAGGGATCAGAGTTTGAGTAAAAAGAAAACGCATGGAAATAGTTAGGTTGATATTTTCCATTATTCATAACCTCCGACGACCTCCCAGCGTAGTCCAGATCCAGAAAGCCATCAAATCAGAGGGTTTGGTTTGCTCTTTGTAGAAAGCCCATTAACAATCCCTAAAATGACATCTTGAGGCCCATATATGGTCCATTATCCACCAAACATAAACGTGCACAATTCGTATTTTTGTTATGATTCCACACTTTTTCTTAATGCATGCATGCATTAGAGAGTAGAGATAGACTTATGCACTTCACTTCCATGTATACATTTCTCTTTTGTATACAAAAGCTGAATCATCATCTATACTCTACCAGTGTAGTCATATCAGATCTGTAAACTAAAACAATGGGTTTACTTTATTAGCTAACCATACATTTTGATAAGATGTACTGACAAAAATGTTATTAAATATGTCGTAGAGTTTTGAAACTGGAGACAAAGTAATCAACTTGACTCGTATTGAGATTCACATTCACAATGGCCAAAACGATTCATTTTGGTATAATTGTTAGACTCCTCTAAACAAGCTCATAGTTATAGATGTTACGAAATCGAGAGGTCTTCAAAATTTTGGGATATTTCAATGTCATAGTTGCAGAAATCAGTTTCTTTAGGATAGGTTATCTAGACAACAATATGAAGCGCTCTCCATCCTACTACTTTGATTAAATTCAGACCTTGATAACATCTTAAAGTTTGAGAGAAAACTTTCTTTGCTTTTAACTGATTAATATCGACATAGATATATATATATATTTAATTACAAGAAAGAGGTTAAGTTAATCACAAATATAATTCTGATGGCCTGATGGGCTTGAGCTTTTAGTGATAGCATTCTAATCTACCTCAATTTTGAAGATTATATGCTTTTAAGGATGAAACTGAAAACATTAAGGGGAAATAGGAAAAAAAAAATCACAACTCTTGTTGGATAGTTTACCAAACAAGTTATAATTTGTAAAACAATTTAATGGACCCATCAACATCAGGCCATCAACCATGCATGTTCACTTTACTTTTCATGATTCTAATATTTTCTTAAGAGTGGTTAGAAAATTGCGGACCAAACCAGATTAATATCCCAATTTCTTTTGTTTTTCTTGTCTATTTACGAGAGCACTGGCAAACATTTGTTTTAGCATTTTATGTTTTTCGTTTCATTGAGGTATGAGTTTTATTCCTTTAGTAAAATATAATACTCCCATTATATAAAATTATCGTTTCTTTTCATATATATATCGGGCAGAAACCAATCATTGAAAATTGATATGTTATATGTATATATATATATATGACGACAATGAAGACGTTGACTCTGAATTGTTGACTTGTAATCATTTTGACTTCAGAATATATATATATTTTTAATAAACAGAAAATATAACTATAAATCTCTTAAATATATATATATATAAAGTGGAACTAAATTTTATTTACCCCCGATCATTTCTAGAAGAATAGTCTGAAACACAAAATAGTTAATTTACTTCTCCAATATATATATATAAATCGTTTCATAAACATATACGTACAAAACATTAGTAAAGCAACATGAATGTATGCATGAAATAGCAAATTTAATAATTGCAAAGTTCATTATTGCATTATGGGCCACGCTAGAAATGAATACATATATTAAATTCCTAGAAAAATGTATTTCCAAAATTTAATCACATTGTTTGTCCAAATTTTTTTTTTTTTAATCACATTGTGGATATAACGAATCGGTGGAAGCGCGTGTGTTACATAACATGTGATCAAAAAGTGAATTTAAAGTAGAGAAACCTTTTTCTTTATATTTTTGCTAGTTATGATTGGCATTGACTCTCTTGTCCAAATGCCTTTGTAAACTTCAGCTTTTTCCTGTCTTATTTGTATGATTCCATTTTCAACCCCTTTTTATTTTTTAAATCCTAAACTGCCCCAACTTTATTTGTTTTCTATTTTTTAACCCCCAAAATCTCCAAGACTCCAACTATTTTAAATTAACAAAAAATATTAAAGAAATGTTTAGTTCTTTTGAAGAAACTGATTTTTTACGGCACGATGGAATTTAAAACCGGAATCCAATAAGTACTACTTCATGTGCATCATTAATTTCTTTGAGACATTTTGTAATAAATAAGTAACAACTTTGTAATAAATACTATTTCATAACTCAAATGCATCTTTAATAAGATTCATTAAAGCATATTTGTCTCTCTCAGCTGGCAAATCTTGATCTAATCTCTTCACACTTTGCTCTCCACATGCCACTAAGTCTAAATTCAACAATCTCACATTTTTAAACTCCTTACAAAAATAAATCAATGTAAATATTCTTTTATTTATTTATCTTATTTGAAACCAAGTTTTAATTTAAAGGAACAGTCATTAGTGGTGACACTTGAATTTTTACCGTAATTTGTGTCCCCGACACCGTGCAAATAAGAAGTTGTAACACTGTTACCGAGCTCAACTTGCATAGATTATCACAAATTTTATTTAGTAATATTATACTAACAATCAAATTTAAATTGGGTCAATCTTACGATCACTTCTGAATTCACTAACGTCCAATTAGTTTTAAATATATAACGACAAGCTTTTTGGCCTTTTCCTCAATCTCAATGTGAGAAAGTTTTGGATCTTTCCACTAAAATAGTTTTTGTTAAGTTAATCACTTGCTATAATTTAAAGAATCAATTACGAGATAAGACCTTTTTATATTGTTTTTGCTATTTTGCATGTCCTTAAATCTTTTAAATTTGTTCTTTTTATATATCTTTTTTTTTTTGAACACGCTTCTTTTTATATATCTACAAACATAATTTAACACATTATGTACTGGTTTATTAGGTTCCATTTTTTAGGGTATAATTTTTGTTATTAAGTATGTGTTTTATGAAAAAAAAAATTCTAAAGTTAGGTTCTGTTTTTCTCTTTTCTTTATTCAGGTTTCCTTGTTCTGAATCTTTCTTTCTCTTAGTTCTTGTTGTTCTTTATGTATACTTTTCTTTTTATTATTAATGAAAGCCTTTAACAAAAAAAAAAAAAAAAAAAAAAAAAAAAAATTCTAAATATTTATTTTGAAGTGTTAAAAATGGCAAATTTCAAATATTTTAATAAAAATGGCAAATTTGAAAAATGGTTAGGCAAAAAGGTTTTTTTTTGTTTGTACAATAAGCCCTAATTTAAAACGTTAAGGTAACCATTTGGAAGTGTATTCATGTTCTAAATATTAAAACCAACGTAAACATTTGGTCTCGAAATGCATTTTAAATAAATAATTTGATACTCTATATAAACTAAATCATTAAACAGACATATTTATATACATATATATATATATATATATATATATTTACAATTTGCAAACATGAAACTTAATTTCTTTATAGTAGAGTATCTTCTTTTTTTAGTGTTTAGTGGTAAATGGAATTCGACTCCAAATATGATTATTGAGTTCAATTAATTATTATTTAAAGTTGAGTAGATTAACAGTGTATATGTAATACTGCTCTAAAATTATATCTAATTATTATTTAAAATGTTCTTAAAACTAGGAATTGTATCATTTTCAAGCAGAGCAGGTGAAAATCAAGATAAAAAGAGTAGAAAGAGCTGTCAGTTTAATTATATTAACAATAACACAGCACTAATAATATAAGGCCAGGGCTTATAATTGAAAACCCTATTCTTAGAGATGTCACTTTTGGTTATTTGTTAAATAATTTTATTTCCCCTGGGATTCTTTGACAAACGATAATCTTCTTGGTACTGGAAGACAATTCTGGTATCCGACTATTTATGGTTAATTAAAAAATAATTGAACTATAAAGTGAATAAAAGAAGGAGAAAAGAAAAGTAACTTAGCCACATTGTGAAGTTTTCCCTTTACAGCATCCTATGTCTCTTGCCTTTATGTCTTGGAGAAAACAATTTTTGGAGGGAAAATTGCCCATTACTAAAAGAATTAATAAACATACATATATATATATATATATACTAAAATATTTAAATGTTGTCAAATATATAGTTCGTTGATAACTCGTAAAATAACAACATAATTTTAGGCTATGAATGGTGGCATGAAAAAAGTACAGTGTTAAGCGACTCGATCACACAATTTTCACTTTGTGACCAATTGCGAATTTTGTTTCATTTGTGGTGCGATATGGAATAATAGTGTTGTTTAAATGAAATGCAATTTTTTTTTTCTCATGTTTTGTGGAAGGTTGATTTATCAATAAATTTATAAAAATCTTTTGATCAACTACACGTTAGAAACAGAATTATAAATCTTTTGATCATCCTAAATGTTAGAAATTAAAAGAATTAACTAATTTAACTTTGTTAGACTGATTCTGTTTGATACGTTTACTTTGTATATATTAGTCACATTCTGTTCTACTTGATCTACTGAATTAACAGTACCCAATTTGATGTCACCATTCGAATCTTATAGTACAATAATTTTTGTTAAAGACCTTATAGTCCAATAGTTGACGACAATAAAGTATCTAATGGTTACAAAACAGTGAGAATATATTGTCAAACTAAGTGGGTCGGCTATGCATTTGTCAATTGTTTTTGTATATACAAAGATAATTAAATTGAGACCAGGGAACATTAAAACGTCAAATCATTTAGACAAAAGTAGAATTGTAGTTGTTTGGATAGTAGTTTTATTGATGTACTGATAAGTGGTTTAGTAATCGATCTCATCTTAATTAGTTGGCCTAATGCACCAACAATTCGAGTGAGATGCAAACATATATCATAATCCTTACTTCATTAATTTTTAAGCAATCCAAATCATTTATTTTCGTTATTTATTGCCTTTTTTTCTAAATTGGACTCATTTATATAGTTGGTACCAAACTCATATTCATTTACTACTTGCATTACAGACATATAAACTATATATATCGTGGCTACGTAAAAAATGAAAATATAATTAATAATCGTTTGTAAAAACAATTTACAAAATCTATTTAGAAGTTGAAATATAATTAGCATGTTCTGATATGTTAAAAAACATATGTATTATGAAATGACTATAGTTACATGATATTCTAGATCGACCATTTAGGTGTAAAGAAAGTAAAACTTTGATTTTTTTTTTATAAAATATAAGATTTATATAATAGAAAAATAAACCTAAGTAGAATATGTATGTGTAGAAGTAATCAAACATTAGGAATAAGTACAAAAGTTAAGAGAATGTAACAAGAAAAGAAACAAAAACAAAACGTAGGATCCTAATAATCCTATGAGTGTAGAAGAAACAGAACGAGACAATGTGCAATGCGATGGTTCAACAACTCCCACTTACATTCCAACAAGCCCATACAATACAATAGGTTTTTTCACTTTTTGAGTAACTTTTCTTTGATAGGTCATCAGCAATATATATTATAATTTGATATTTGGAAGTCGTTCAAATGTTGACAAAAGAGTAGATATATATAATATATAGTTTTGTCTCCTTTTGTTTTCGTTTTTCTCGTTTCACCACAAAAATAGTAACGGAAGATTGTTTTACCCTCAGGCTTGTTTGTTGACTTTTTACTTTTCGATATATATCAATTATCAAAGACTCTTTGTTTCTTGGAGATTGATACTTTTTTGTAATGGACGATCTTTTTTACTTGTCATGCACAATCTCTACGGGTAGTCAAATCTGTGTCAAATTCTGTGTTACAAGATCATAAGTGATCTTAAGTTGTAAAGTTTACTAAGTGAGTTTCATACAAAGAAATTTGGGTTTGATGTGTAATATGTCGTATTGAAAAGTGTGTAATATTCGAAAGATTCTTACATTCCAGTTATATCTATGTAGTTCACCAATCTATACCACAAACCCTTTGGAAATAGAACTAATGCAGTATTTTTGTTTCATTTTATAAAATGTTTGACATTTATTTTCTGTTGTAGAAATAAACTTATATATATGATATTTATAGCTTCTAAATTTACCCATACAATTTTATATTCTTATTTGAAGCATCATTTATAAGATAGATAATTAGATCTAAATACATTAATTTAGATTTACATTTTTGAGTTTTTGCTCCAAAAATATCATCATAAGTTTTTTTATCCCAGTAATACCACAAATTCAATATTAAAACGGAAAAATATATTTTAAATAGTGGAAATATAAACCATAAATTGAAAATAGGGAGCCCAAATATAATTTTAAATTTTATTTGTAATTTATTTTGGTTGAAAAAATATTTTTATACAAAAATATGTGGTATGTATTATTGGAAAATTAACTAGTGATAATATTTTTGGAACAAAAACTTAATAGTGTGCTATTTTAGAGTATTTCTCTAATTTTTATTATATAAATTGTTTTGGTTTACTAGTGTTTTAAACATATAACAACTCTAGTTTTTTTGTGATAAAACATATAAGTTATATGATATAACACACTATTTTACATATATCATATTATCATTCTTTTTTTTTTTTTTTCGTCCATATTATCATTCTTTTCTTTAAACCAAGCATGTAATCACACAAAAAAAACCATGTAATCACACTCTACTTTATTTACTATTTATCCACCATATTGTATACATTATTTTGCAATTCGTGAAAAAGTTATTTTCTTTTTAAAATAATTTTACGTATATCGATAACCCACGTAAAATGTTATGCTTTTAATGCAAAAGAGAAAGTCCCTAAAATAACAAAAAGCTTAAAGATTACTAAAGGCTAAGAGAGGTGATGATGTGAGATTCTTCTCTCTAGGGTCAAAAAGTAAAACCCACACTCTTGTATATTTAAGAGGCATGTTTCCATTTTTTATCGCGAAAAAATAAAATAGGAAAATTGGACACAAAGGAATACATGACGGTCGTGGGTAAGCTAATTGTAGGTGATCTTGTAGTTTGGCGGTCACTGACTTGGACGGAGATTAACCATAAGAAAAAAAAAATGTACAAGCATCGTGCGCGTAAGGACTTGGCGCATCTTGTTGGCGGAACCTTTGTCGGCAGGTAAGGACTTGGCGCATTCCCCAAAGATCATGCCGCAGATGTGGTTTGACAAAGGGCATTCGATCTCTGCAGCCAGTTTGTCGATGTAACACCCAATGTGTTCGATTTTAGGCTGCAAGTTGTACTCCTCCTTCATCTTTACCAACACTTTGAGAGCATCTTCATTCTTGGTTTCAGCCTGAGCATGAGCATACATTAGGGCACGGAATGAGTCAAGATTGGGCTTGATATGGGTTTTCTCCATCTTCCCAAATGCAGCTATCGCCTTCATTGGATCGTATGCCGCATACGCCCAGATCAGGTTCCTCCATGTAGTGTAGCCTGGGGATCTAAGGCTTGAGAAGAACTCACATGCAAGTTCAGGGCGGTTGGCAACTCGGTTGTACAAACTCATCACCATGCCAGCGTGTCGATCATTGTTCCCAAGTCCGAGTTCCAGCACCTCTGAATTTAGCCTTTGCACAACCTCCATTCCAACAATGTCAGCAGCATAACCAAAAAAATGTTCATTGGAAAGATACATTGTGTGTTCCATCTTTGAATACTTCAGATCCCAAAATAAAACGTAAAATCTCATAACTAAAGTGAAAATACATGTAAAGTGCATGTCAAGTGGAAATACATGTAATTGTAGGTTTCTGTTGTATATTTCGGTTTTTTGTCTTCTTTGTATTTTTTGTAATCGATTTCGCAAATATGAAAATGGTATAAATACTTAACATTGTTACAAAAATAAATGGCATATAAACAAACTATTTTTCCTAAAAAATGAGAGAAAAAATCAGAACAAAGTGAGTGTAAAACCGCGTTTATAAATAACCTTCCATGTTTTGATAAACTAAAGATAAACTAAATAACCTTCCATGTTATATATAGAATTTTACTTGCATTGTGATCATATTCCTTAAATAGTTTCAATAGAAAATTATACGTTTTATCATTTAGACGTGTCGACATCATTAAAAACCTACGGGCATAGCCAAAATTTACTAAACAAAACTCATTAGCAAGATATTTTGTTAACTTAAAGGAAAATGGAATCAATTAAAGAAATGCTTTATATCAAAAAAATTTACTAAACAAAATTCAATGCTTCATATCAAAAATTCATAATTTTCAGTTGTATAATAAGTTTTAATATAAAACTAGAACGATCTATTTAAAATTATCTTTAAGTAAGACTTAAAATTTTAAATTTGTATATAAAATAAAAATGAAATCAATTAAAGAAATGTAAAAGTGGCAGTCTAATAATTACTTAAAATCCTATTAAAAATTAATTACGTCAGTTATTCGTATATAGTTTGGAAGAAGTGTATTATGTATAGTTAATATTATATTTCGTTTGTTCTTGTTCCGCTTAGGACATGATATTTTGTATGGTACCAAAAATTTACATTTGTCTTTTTAAAATATATTTGTTAAATTTGATATGAAATTATGCAAATGTACTGCACTTATGCAAATTTACCTCCTGCACTTATCAACCCGAACTCATACCATTTTTAAATAACAAACTTGAACTATGTAACTGTTAGTCAATTTCAACATAGTTTTTTTTGTATTTGTTAATGTTGCTTAGAATTATTAAATCGTAATTATTTGTTCTTTTGTATCTCAATCATTTATTTTATTCAACTGGCTAAAAGTTACATAATTCAAGTTTGTTACATAATTAATTAATGGGTATATACTAAAATTGGCTAACGGTTATATAGTTCAGGTTTGTTATTTAAAATTTCTGTGGATTTAGGTTGATAAATGCAGGGATCAGAGTTTGAGTAAAAAGAAAACGCATGGAAATAGTTAGGTTGATATCGACCGTTTTCCATTATTCATAACCTCCAACGACCTCCCAGCATAGTCCAGATCCAGAAAGCCATCAAATCAGAGGGTTTGGTTTGCTCTTTGTAGAAAGCCCATTAACAATCCCTAAAATGACATCTTGAGGCCCATATATGGTCCATTATCCACCAAACATAAACGTGCACAATTCGTATTTTTGTTATGATTCCACACTTTTTCTTAATGCATGCATGCATTAGAGAGTAGAGATAGACTTATGCACTTCACTTCCATGTATACATTTCTCTTTTGCATACAGAAGCTGAATCATCATCTATACTCTTCCAGTGTAGTCATATCAGATCTGTAAACTAAAACAATGGGTTTACTTTTTTTTTTTTCTTTTTTTTTTTCTTTTTTTGGTAAAATAATGGGTTTACTTTATTAGCTAACCAAACATTTTGATAAGATGTACTGACAAAAATGTTATTAAATATGTCGTAGAGTTTTGAAACTGGAGACAAAGTAATCAACTTGACTCGTATTGAGATTCACATTCACAATGGCCAAAACGATTCATTTTGGTATAATTGTTAGACTCCTCTAAACAAGCTCATAGTTATAGATGTTACGAAATCGAGAGGTCTTCAAAATTTTGGGATATTTCAATGTCATAGTTGCAGAAATCAGTTTCTTTAGGATAGGTTATCTAGACAACAATATGAAGCGCTCTCCATCCTACTACTTTGATTAAATTCAGACCTTGATAACATCTTAAAGTTTGAGAGAAAACTTTCTTTGCTTTTAACTGATTAATATCGACATAGATATATATATATATTTAATTACAAGAAAGAGGTTAAGTTAATCACAAATATAATTCTGATGGCCTGATGGGCTTGAGCTTTTAGTGATAGCATTCTAATCTACCTCAATTTTGAAGATTATATGCTTTTAAGGATGAAACTGAAAACATTAAGGGGAAATAGGAAAAAAAAAATCACAACTCTTGTTGGATAGTTTACCAAACAAGTTATAATTTGTAAAACAATTTAATGGACCCATCAACATCAGGCCATCAACCATGCATGTTCACTTTACTTTTCATGATTCTAATATTTTCTTAAGAGTGGTTAGAAAATTGCGGACCAAACCAGATTAATATCCCAATTTCTTTTGTTTTTCTTGTCTATTTACGAGAGCACTGGCAAACATTTGTTTTAGCATTTTATGTTTTTCGTTTCATTGAGGTATGAGTTTTATTCCTTTAGTAAAATATAATACTCCCATTATATAAAATTATCGTTTCTTTTCATATATATATCGGGCAGAAACCAATCATTGAAAATTGATATGTTATATGTATATATATATATATATGACGACAATGAAGACGTTGACTCTGAATTGTTGACTTGTAATCATTTTGACTTCAGAATATATATATATTTTTAATAAACAGAAAATATAACTATAAATCTCTTAAATATATATATATATAAAGTGGAACTAAATTTTATTTACCCCCGATCATTTCTAGAAGAATAGTCTGAAACACAAAATAGTTAATTTACTTCTCCAATATATATATATAAATCGTTTCATAAACATATACGTACAAAACATTAGTAAAGCAACATGAATGTATGCATGAAATAGCAAATTTAATAATTGCAAAGTTCATTATTGCATTATGGGCCACGCTAGAAATGAATACATATATTAAATTCCTAGAAAAATGTATTTCCAAAATTTAATCACATTGTTTGTCCAAATTTTTTTTTTTTTAATCACATTGTGGATATAACGAATCGGTGGAAGCGCGTGTGTTACATAACATGTGATCAAAAAGTGAATTTAAAGTAGAGAAACCTTTTTCTTTATATTTTTGCTAGTTATGATTGGCATTGACTCTCTTGTCCAAATGCCTTTGTAAACTTCAGCTTTTTCCTGTCTTATTTGTATGATTCCATTTTCAACCCCTTTTTATTTTTTAAATCCTAAACTGCCCCAACTTTATTTGTTTTCTATTTTTTAACCCCCAAAATCTCCAAGACTCCAACTATTTTAAATTAACAAAAAATATTAAAGAAATGTTTAGTTCTTTTGAAGAAACTGATTTTTTACGGCACGATGGAATTTAAAACCGGAATCCAATAAGTACTACTTCATGTGCATCATTAATTTCTTTGAGACATTTTGTAATAAATAAGTAACAACTTTGTAATAAATACTATTTCATAACTCAAATGCATCTTTAATAAGATTCATTAAAGCATATTTGTCTCTCTCAGCTGGCAAATCTTGATCTAATCTCTTCACACTTTGCTCTCCACATGCCACTAAGTCTAAATTCAACAATCTCACATTTTTAAACTCCTTACAAAAATAAATCAATGTAAATATTCTTTTATTTATTTATCTTATTTGAAACCAAGTTTTAATTTAAAGGAACAGTCATTAGTGGTGACACTTGAATTTTTACCGTAATTTGTGTCCCCGACACCGTGCAAATAAGAAGTTGTAACACTGTTACCGAGCTCAACTTGCATAGATTATCACAAATTTTATTTAGTAATATTATACTAACAATCAAATTTAAATTGGGTCAATCTTACGATCACTTCTGAATTCACTAACGTCCAATTAGTTTTAAATATATAACGACAAGCTTTTTGGCCTTTTCCTCAATCTCAATGTGAGAAAGTTTTGGATCTTTCCACTAAAATAGTTTTTGTTAAGTTAATCACTTGCTATAATTTAAAGAATCAATTACGAGATAAGACCTTTTTATATTGTTTTTGCTATTTTGCATGTCCTTAAATCTTTTAAATTTGTTCTTTTTATATATCTTTTTTTTTTTGAACACGCTTCTTTTTATATATCTACAAACATAATTTAACACATTATGTACTGGTTTATTAGGTTCCATTTTTTAGGGTATAATTTTTGTTATTAAGTATGTGTTTTATGAAAAAAAAAATTCTAAAGTTAGGTTCTGTTTTTCTCTTTTCTTTATTCAGGTTTCCTTGTTCTGAATCTTTCTTTCTCTTAGTTCTTGTTGTTCTTTATGTATACTTTTCTTTTTATTATTAATGAAAGCCTTTAACAAAAAAAAAAAAAAAAAAAAAAAAAAAAAATTCTAAATATTTATTTTGAAGTGTTAAAAATGGCAAATTTCAAATATTTTAATAAAAATGGCAAATTTGAAAAATGGTTAGGCAAAAAGGTTTTTTTTTGTTTGTACAATAAGCCCTAATTTAAAACGTTAAGGTAACCATTTGGAAGTGTATTCATGTTCTAAATATTAAAACCAACGTAAACATTTGGTCTCGAAATGCATTTTAAATAAATAATTTGATACTCTATATAAACTAAATCATTAAACAGACATATTTATATACATATATATATATATATATATATATATATTTACAATTTGCAAACATGAAACTTAATTTCTTTATAGTAGAGTATCTTCTTTTTTTAGTGTTTAGTGGTAAATGGAATTCGACTCCAAATATGATTATTGAGTTCAATTAATTATTATTTAAAGTTGAGTAGATTAACAGTGTATATGTAATACTGCTCTAAAATTATATCTAATTATTATTTAAAATGTTCTTAAAACTAGGAATTGTATCATTTTCAAGCAGAGCAGGTGAAAATCAAGATAAAAAGAGTAGAAAGAGCTGTCAGTTTAATTATATTAACAATAACACAGCACTAATAATATAAGGCCAGGGCTTATAATTGAAAACCCTATTCTTAGAGATGTCACTTTTGGTTATTTGTTAAATAATTTTATTTCCCCTGGGATTCTTTGACAAACGATAATCTTCTTGGTACTGGAAGACAATTCTGGTATCCGACTATTTATGGTTAATTAAAAAATAATTGAACTATAAAGTGAATAAAAGAAGGAGAAAAGAAAAGTAACTTAGCCACATTGTGAAGTTTTCCCTTTACAGCATCCTATGTCTCTTGCCTTTATGTCTTGGAGAAAACAATTTTTGGAGGGAAAATTGCCCATTACTAAAAGAATTAATAAACATACATATATATATATATATATACTAAAATATTTAAATGTTGTCAAATATATAGTTCGTTGATAACTCGTAAAATAACAACATAATTTTAGGCTATGAATGGTGGCATGAAAAAAGTACAGTGTTAAGCGACTCGATCACACAATTTTCACTTTGTGACCAATTGCGAATTTTGTTTCATTTGTGGTGCGATATGGAATAATAGTGTTGTTTAAATGAAATGCAATTTTTTTTTTCTCATGTTTTGTGGAAGGTTGATTTATCAATAAATTTATAAAAATCTTTTGATCAACTACACGTTAGAAACAGAATTATAAATCTTTTGATCATCCTAAATGTTAGAAATTAAAAGAATTAACTAATTTAACTTTGTTAGACTGATTCTGTTTGATACGTTTACTTTGTATATATTAGTCACATTCTGTTCTACTTGATCTACTGAATTAACAGTACCCAATTTGATGTCACCATTCGAATCTTATAGTACAATAATTTTTGTTAAAGACCTTATAGTCCAATAGTTGACGACAATAAAGTATCTAATGGTTACAAAACAGTGAGAATATATTGTCAAACTAAGTGGGTCGGCTATGCATTTGTCAATTGTTTTTGTATATACAAAGATAATTAAATTGAGACCAGGGAACATTAAAACGTCAAATCATTTAGACAAAAGTAGAATTGTAGTTGTTTGGATAGTAGTTTTATTGATGTACTGATAAGTGGTTTAGTAATCGATCTCATCTTAATTAGTTGGCCTAATGCACCAACAATTCGAGTGAGATGCAAACATATATCATAATCCTTACTTCATTAATTTTTAAGCAATCCAAATCATTTATTTTCGTTATTTATTGCCTTTTTTTCTAAATTGGACTCATTTATATAGTTGGTACCAAACTCATATTCATTTACTACTTGCATTACAGACATATAAACTATATATATCGTGGCTACGTAAAAAATGAAAATATAATTAATAATCGTTTGTAAAAACAATTTACAAAATCTATTTAGAAGTTGAAATATAATTAGCATGTTCTGATATGTTAAAAAACATATGTATTATGAAATGACTATAGTTACATGATATTCTAGATCGACCATTTAGGTGTAAAGAAAGTAAAACTTTGATTTTTTTTTTATAAAATATAAGATTTATATAATAGAAAAATAAACCTAAGTAGAATATGTATGTGTAGAAGTAATCAAACATTAGGAATAAGTACAAAAGTTAAGAGAATGTAACAAGAAAAGAAACAAAAACAAAACGTAGGATCCTAATAATCCTATGAGTGTAGAAGAAACAGAACGAGACAATGTGCAATGCGATGGTTCAACAACTCCCACTTACATTCCAACAAGCCCATACAATACAATAGGTTTTTTCACTTTTTGAGTAACTTTTCTTTGATAGGTCATCAGCAATATATATTATAATTTGATATTTGGAAGTCGTTCAAATGTTGACAAAAGAGTAGATATATATAATATATAGTTTTGTCTCCTTTTGTTTTCGTTTTTCTCGTTTCACCACAAAAATAGTAACGGAAGATTGTTTTACCCTCAGGCTTGTTTGTTGACTTTTTACTTTTCGATATATATCAATTATCAAAGACTCTTTGTTTCTTGGAGATTGATACTTTTTTGTAATGGACGATCTTTTTTACTTGTCATGCACAATCTCTACGGGTAGTCAAATCTGTGTCAAATTCTGTGTTACAAGATCATAAGTGATCTTAAGTTGTAAAGTTTACTAAGTGAGTTTCATACAAAGAAATTTGGGTTTGATGTGTAATATGTCGTATTGAAAAGTGTGTAATATTCGAAAGATTCTTACATTCCAGTTATATCTATGTAGTTCACCAATCTATACCACAAACCCTTTGGAAATAGAACTAATGCAGTATTTTTGTTTCATTTTATAAAATGTTTGACATTTATTTTCTGTTGTAGAAATAAACTTATATATATGATATTTATAGCTTCTAAATTTACCCATACAATTTTATATTCTTATTTGAAGCATCATTTATAAGATAGATAATTAGATCTAAATACATTAATTTAGATTTACATTTTTGAGTTTTTGCTCCAAAAATATCATCATAAGTTTTTTTATCCCAGTAATACCACAAATTCAATATTAAAACGGAAAAATATATTTTAAATAGTGGAAATATAAACCATAAATTGAAAATAGGGAGCCCAAATATAATTTTAAATTTTATTTGTAATTTATTTTGGTTGAAAAAATATTTTTATACAAAAATATGTGGTATGTATTATTGGAAAATTAACTAGTGATAATATTTTTGGAACAAAAACTTAATAGTGTGCTATTTTAGAGTATTTCTCTAATTTTTATTATATAAATTGTTTTGGTTTACTAGTGTTTTAAACATATAACAACTCTAGTTTTTTTGTGATAAAACATATAAGTTATATGATATAACACACTATTTTACATATATCATATTATCATTCTTTTTTTTTTTTTTTCGTCCATATTATCATTCTTTTCTTTAAACCAAGCATGTAATCACACAAAAAAAACCATGTAATCACACTCTACTTTATTTACTATTTATCCACCATATTGTATACATTATTTTGCAATTCGTGAAAAAGTTATTTTCTTTTTAAAATAATTTTACGTATATCGATAACCCACGTAAAATGTTATGCTTTTAATGCAAAAGAGAAAGTCCCTAAAATAACAAAAAGCTTAAAGATTACTAAAGGCTAAGAGAGGTGATGATGTGAGATTCTTCTCTCTAGGGTCAAAAAGTAAAACCCACACTCTTTTTGCTCCTCTGTATTTCTCTGTGTACTGGCGCGTGAGACAGAACAGAAAAAAAAAAAAAAACATCAAATCTTTGCTACACGTCTTTGGTCGTATCCGTATATATGTTCTTCTTCTTATTGTAGCAGAAAGAAAAAAAATAATCGCTTTCATAAATTCAGATTTGTTTCTCAATGGTGGAAGAAGACAAGTGATGTTTTTTTTTTTTTTTTCTTGGAGTTTTGTTTCTTCTTATGATTCATTCATAAATCTGAGGAAATTTCTCAAATCTGTTTCTTTCTCTTTCTCTTAAGTCAAAACCCAACTCAGAGATTCTTCTTCTTCTACTTCTCTCTTTGAGATCAGTTACAAATTGAGCTTTGTTTCTAAGACAAGAAAATGCGGAGACAGAGACATAAGCGTTCAAAGAGGTTTGTCAATTTTGAGACTTTCTTCTTCTTTAGCTCTGTTTTTAGCTTCAATGTTACTTGTTTCTGGGTATAATGAGAGATTTCTCAAATTCGACAAATTGGGTGGTTAAAATTACCCAGATGCAATGCTAGATGAGTTAAAGTTTGAAACTTTGTTGAAGAATTTAGGTTTTAGGAGTTAAAGATTGAAGCTTTATGTACTTGTTATAGAAATGTGGTTTTGTTGAACAGAATCTTTGTTTCTGTCTAATTTTGAACAGAATCTTTGTTTCTCTGTTGTGGGTTTCAACTGTTTTTGATTGATTCTTTGAATCTGGATTCACTTGTTTTAGTTGTACTGTTCTTGAAAAGAAAAAGCTTGAAGATGAGAATAGCATTGATTCTTCTCTGGATGTTTCTCAACGCCTCAAGCTCGTGAGTGTCCTTTTGATTTATGATTTTTAAAAGCTTATTTAGAACAACTGATTCTTAGTTTCTCTTAACTTGTTTTATCACAGGACTTACCTCGTTGCGGCGATAAATCTGTTGAAACAAAGAAGGATCTGTCCCCTGATGTAAAATTCAAGAGCTCTCTGAAGCAAGAGGTTTGTATATTGTAGTCCAAGATCATTTGTTTTCATTCACATTGTAATTGATTTCTTTATGATCTTTGGTTATATTTAGATTCAAGAGCTTGAGAAAAGATTACAGAACCAGTTCGATGTCCGTGGTGCGTTAGAGAAGGCATTAGGCTATAAAACGCCTTCTCGAGACATCAAAGCCGACTCTACTCCGAAGGTAAATAATCGGTTTCTTATAGGTGACACAATGTTGATATTGTTGCAGCTCATGAATGAGTTTTTATATTTTCTTGCAGCCTCCAACAGAGTTGATCAAGGAAATCGCGGTGTTAGAGTTGGAAGTTTCACATTTGGAACAGTACCTTCTATCTTTGTATCGTAAAGCATTTGATCAACAAACATCTTCTGTATCGCCACCAACATCGAAACAACAGAGCTGTTCACCTAAATCTACTCTCAGAGGAAAACGTCTAGACTTCTCAAGAACATCTGAAACTCGGTGTTTCTCCTTTGACAACAGACTGAAGAGTCCACATTTGGTGGAGAAGGAGCTAGAGTCTCCTAACCTTAGATGCAGACAAGAAAGCTTAGCCACGCAACCTCGATGTTTCTCATTTGACAATAGACTGAAGGAACCTGGTTCTGCTGATCGACAATTCAATCAAGAAGACTCGAGAATCAATTCTCAGTGTTTCTCCTTTGACAATAGAGTGAAGGAACCCGTTTCTGCTGCTCGAAAATTCAATCAAGAAAGCTCATTATTTGATTCTCAGAGTTTCTCCGTTGACAATAGACTGAAGGAACCCGGTTCTGCTGCTGCTCGGCGATTCATTCAAGAAAACTCAACAATTGATTCTAGGTGTTTCTCCTTTGACAATAGACTGAAAGATCAATGTTTTATGGAGAAGGAGGACATCGATTCTTGTGTACGCCGTTGCCAGTCCTCTCTTAATCAACGTTCCACCTTCAATAACCAAATATCTCCACCAGAAGACTCGGTATTCGCGTGCCACTCCCAACCATTGTCTATACATAAAGTAAGTCTCAATGCAACGATTTTATTTTCTTGTATTTACATTAAACTTTATATAGTCTGTATCTTTACTCACTTTTGATGCAACAGTACATACAAAATGGATCAAATACTGCAAGCCTTGCAGAACAGATGGGAACTCGAATATCCGATCACATATTTATGACTCCTAACAAGTTATCAGAGGAAATGATAAAATGTGTATCGGCTATATACTCCAAGCTCGCTGATCCACCATCGATAAACCACGGTTTCTCATCCCCGAGTTCGTCTCCATCATCAACAAGCGAGTTTTCGCCTCAAGAACAGTATGATATGTGGAGTCCAAGCTTCAGAAAAAACTCGTCTTTCGATGAACAATTTGAATTCAGCGGACCTTACAGCTCAATGATTGAAGTGTCACAGATTCATCGAAACCATAGGAAAGGACGCGACCTTGACCTGATGAATCGAAACTTCAGGTCAGCCTTTAAATAGCAGCTTTCCAACGTTACCTTTGTTCTTTCATTCAATTCTTATGCTGATAGTAGTCATTGGTTTATACTTATATAGCTTACTTATTAAGCAACTGGAAAGTGTTGATCCAAGAAAGCTGACTCATCAAGAGAAACTGGCGTTCTGGATTAATGTACATAACGCGCTTGTGATGCATGTACGCAGTTTTCTCTCTGTTTCTTTGATCTAACATTTGTCTTCTTGTTACTACAATATCTTAACTTATACTTGGTTTTCACCATTGCAGACATTTCTGGCAAGTGGGATTCCACAGAACAATGGGAAGCGGTTTTTACTACTCTCCAAGGTAATATTATCAACACGTGTCTTGGTTTGCTTCAAAAGGACAAGCGGTTTTGAATGAATACTAAAAGTTTTTAGTCTCTGCTTAACATTTTCCAGCCAGCTTACAAGATAGGAGGTCGCATGGTAAGCGTAGAAGCGATACAAAATTATATTCTTCGCATCAAGATGCCTCGTCCTGGCCAGGTAGGGCTGACTTCTCATGTATCTCAAAAATACAAATTGTCTATGTGACTGTCTAAAGCTTTCTCTTTTTTATTTGTAGTGGCTGAAGTTATTACTCATTCCGAAAAAGTTCAGAACCGGAGACGAACATCAAGAATATTCCCTCGACCATTCGGAGCCTCTCTTATACTTTGCCCTTTGTTCAGGAAACCATTCTGACCCTGCGGTACGTAGAGAAAGCTTACACTTTTGTTACCTTCTTTGAAGAATGAGAGATCTTGAATTTGTTTTCTTTGGCTGTAGATTCGTGTTTATACGCCCAAGGGAATATACCAAGAGCTAGAAACCGCAAAGGAAGAGTACATTCGCGCAACGTTTGGGGTTAAAAAAGACCAGAAACTAGTCTTACCAAAGATCATTGAGACTTTTAGCAAAGACTCAGGTTTGAGTCAAGCAGCATTGATGGAGATGATTCAAGAATGTCTCCCGGAGACAATGAAGAAAACCATAAAGAAACTTAACTCGGGGAGATCCCGAAAGAGCATTGTTGAATGGACGCCTCATAGTTTCGTGTTTCGGTATTTGATAGCCAGAGAACTTGTTAGATGAGATTTTTATATGGTCCTTTTGGTAAGGGTTTTTGTTTGCAGGACTCTGTTTCTTGTAATGTTATAGGAGAATGTATTGTGAGTGTAGAGAGTAGAAATAGAAATAGAGGAGAAACTGCATGCCGTTTTTCGGTTACCAATCCGGGATGATGTTTTGGCTTGTGTTATCTTTGCTTTAGAAGAATAGGTTGTACATACAAAATTATTTTTTAAATTTATTTGTTATAGTAACGATATATATTAGATTATTAGATAATGTCTTATTTTTCAGCAAGTTTAGCGTAGTCGTTAACCTATCGGTTCACCCAACTTAGAGCATCTCCGATGGTTAGATACTCGTTAGAAGTACCTCATCAATATTATAATAATACTTTTAATCTAGTTTTAATATTTAATTATAAATAATAAATAAAATTGAACCAATTATATTGAAATAAGTGGCATATGGGTTCAAAAGAGAATACTCATTCTTTTTCATTTTTGATTACTTTATTATTTTAATGTTTAGAAACTTATTAAGACTTCTCCATTAAAGATCTTCTTAGACCGTTTGTAACCAAATTAAAACCAAATTTTCGATTAATCTAGTAAACCGAATTAATAGGCTTATCAGTTTGTGGATTACCATTGTGAATCATAAGTTGAAAGTGATAAATGATCTTACCTAACTGTTCATTTCACTTATTGTTAAATTGTTTTAAGTTAAAAGATCATATACTTTTGTTTATCAATAATTCGCCACACAAGCTTTATCGAATTTAAATTCATATGATAATCACAACGACAAAATTAATATAAACTACTAATTTCCATGTTTAGTCACCCAACTATTAGGTAGTAAAAATATCAACCCATGGTTTCAATAATAATATCTAAAACCCAAAAACCTTAAACCGAATGGAACTAATATCTTTTAGTCACGCCCCATATGAATCTAATGTACATTGGAAAACAATTCACCATTCTTATCATACCAACGTCTAAAGAAAATCGATGAATGGTTTTGAAAGATCAAAGACATAAACAAACTCAAAAGCTTTTTATTTGTGGGATATTATATACACACTTTCAATAAAATTTGTTGGATAGCTTTATAACGTAACCTTCTTTTTTTTTCTTTTGTCAAACTTCTCTTTGTCTTTTTTTCTTTTCTTTCTTTTCATGTTGTTTGGAATTTACTTTCTTGTTCATATATAAGTACACTTTAAAGTGCTCTTATATAATATAAAAGAGTGTTTACTCTTTAAGTTTCGCATAATATATGTCTGGTTTTAGCCTTTTCTGATATAGGGTTTGATTGGTGAACAAAAATAAAGTATTACAAGTTGTACAGTTTTTATCTTTACTAATCACAAAAACTTTATCAAAAAGTTTTACTCTCAGCTTTTTTGTACAGTTTTCACGTACAGCTCTTTTATACAGCTTTGCACTATTCCGGTAAAACTTACAGCTCCAGCTAAAAGCTAAAATTTTTGTACAGTTTTTAGTTACTAATTAGACCCATAGTCTGATACATGATAGTATATATATAATATTTTCTTATTCCTTCATATACAAAAAAGAAGAAGAAAAAGTGGGCTTTTAAAAGTAGGCCATGATGGTTTGGCACCGCACGTATCGTCGTCTCATTAAAGTCATGTCCAAACTTATTACTCCCATTCTCTTGTTCCCCATTCATTATTGCTTTCCACCATTTGCTAGTGTAGTTGCATGCATATTCACATAGGTGGACCAAAATAAAAGGTAACAAAAAACAAAAAATAAAACTGAACCCAACCGAATGAATTATTTAGATTTTAATATCTTACCAATTTTTTTTTTTGTATAAAACGTTAACGAAAACCACCAACCGAACCGAACCGAACCAAATTATTTAGATTAATATCGTACCAAAATATTGTGAATAAACCGATTATTATAACTCATTCGGAAGCAAAATAACAAAACCGCATTGAAACAATTTTAGTGTCATAGAAAGCTAAAATTAAACAAGATCCAAACTTTAAACAAAACCGAGCAAAATCAAAATTACATTAAACCGAATTATAAATTGGTTTTCATTGGTTCATTTTCTATAGAACCAATCAAACCGAGATATAAACGAACTCAAAACCAAACATACATGCATACGCCATAGAGATCTCACATCGAATCAGAAATCAAGTACGTGATGTGGTTCGATCAAATAGTTTATCAATCAATAGCTGTAAGCCTGTAATCCCAAGATATTGACTTCGTCATAATGCATCAGATGGATGGGACCAAATCGGGTGATGCGTCTCAAACCTAACCCCTAGCGTGTGTAGGGTCTCTTAAAGTCAAATTACTTGAGTCTATGTGATGTTTCATTGCAGTTAGTCATATTTGGTTGATTCATATTGTGTCACTATTTCCATTACCAATCAAAATCCAATAAATGTTGCATAGATCTAATTTTTTATATTAACCTTCTTATTATTTACTAAATTGTTTATCTAAAGGTGGGGAAAAAACCCGAAAAATACCTCATCTATTTTTTATTTGGACGTTTAATACCTACCTTTTTTTTGTTGGAAGAAAAATACCTTCTTTAATTATTATTGGTCGAAAAATACCTTATCTTTAAATTGTTGGTAGATTCAAACCTCTGATTTAACGGTAGTTAACGGACGTAACGATATCAGTAAACGACGTTAAATTATAACAGATAAATAGCCGAAAAATACCCAATCTATTTATTTTTGGAATTTTAATACCCCAACTTTTTGGTTAGAAGAAAAATACCTCATGTAAAATATCTTTGTCTAAAAATACTTCATTTTAAATTATTAGTGGATTCAAGTCTGCGACTTAACAATCGTTAACAATATTACAGAAACATTTAACGACGTTAAATATTAACCCTATGTATATAAATAGATATATACAATTTATTTTCAAAATTTTACAAATATATTGGTGTGATCAAAACTCAATATTACTTCGTTAATACGATCAAAACTCAATCTTTCTCGAACCATTTCTTTCATCTCTCCACTTTTACCTAAATTCTTCTCCACTTCTGCAACTATGCTACTTCACGACCACAAAAATGACAAATCTATCGTCGTCGTCATCTTTGTCACAATCTCTCATTTGTTAGTTGCAGAATCGTTACATTCCATCATTAAATTCACTATCACAAAAACCCTTCTAACTCCAACGATGCCTTTAGGAATGAAAAAATGATGTATTTAAATTTGTAAGAGTGAAGCAAATGATGTATTTAAATTTGTATGTCATTCATTAAAGAAAATAGGAGATCAAAAGAAGTTCTATGCGGGTTAAAAATCATACGTGTTACCATTAGATCAAGCAATATATTTGTAAAAGTTTGTATAAATATTGTATATACTAACAATTCAAAAATAAGGTATTTTTAGACAAAAATATTTAAATGAGGTATTTTTCTTCCAACCAAAAAGTTTGGGTATTAAAAATCCAAAAATAAATAGATGAAGCATTTTTCGGCTATTTGTTTTGTTAAAATATAACGTCGTTTACTGATACCGTAACGTCCGTTAACGACCGTTAAATCAGAGGTTTGAATTTACTAATAATATAAAGATAAAGTATTTTTCGACCAATTATAATTAAAGAAGGTATTTTTCTTCCAACAAAAAAAAGTTAGGTATTAAACGTCCAAATTAAAAATAGATGGGGTATTTTTCGGGTTTTTTCCCTCTAAAAGTGTGATTAGTAAGTAAATCAGCACAAACAGTGTAAAACATCATTTCAGCTTAATATTTTACTCTAACATGCATTAAGAGTCATATCTTTCACAAATTTTCAACTAGGACTAATATTCTTGATGTGAAATGCCAATTTCTAAATTGTTTACTGTAAATTTTAACTAACAAACCAAAAACCCCGAATATTTTACAAGTCACATAATTAGTTACTAGTATGGCGTTTACTCTAAGATTTATTCTGTTACAAGAAAATTGTTGTTATTTTTTGTTTGGCCAATCAAAATACTAGTTATAACTTATAAGAATGAGACACATGGTCCTTTCTTATCCAGAAAGTATTGTGTAAGTGGACTAAACCATGTCCATATTAATCATAATAATAGGGATCAATCAATTAAATTTGGGGTTTAAATGGTGGAAACTGACATCAAAACAACTAATACTAAACAAGCATATCAGACAGAATAAATAAGGTAAAAAATAAATAGATTAGACTCTTTATGCGGTGTAGAACAAACAAAATAAATATTGAATGAAAAGTATATGCAAAATGCCATACAAATATAATAATTACTGAATTTTAAAATATGAACAGATAAAAAAAAAAAGCTAATCTAAACAATATCCCCCAGAATTGGCTTGAATAAGCTAATCTAATAAAGTTGTTGACAAAAAAAAAATATAAATTTTTTTTTAACCACATTGTACAGATTTTTTTTTTGTACAACTATATTTTATACGTTAAAATTAATCCACATGATTAAAAAAATAACAAAGTATAGTAGCTTTCTAATAAAAAAATACATTAACACTTTTTGGATGGTTGGTATGCGGTTTTAAATGTAGCTAATAATAATTTTGCATCGCATTAGAACCACATTGTATTTAGATCACACCTCAACTAAACTATATCTTTTAGATGAATGGTAACAAAATTGAATTTTAATCCATAATATGAGATTTTTTTGGTCTTTATCAAATAATATGATTAGTAAACCAAGTACAATCACTTTTCCCACGTTGCAAAATGCAATTTGCATTAGGCACAAAAATATGTAATGGTCCTCCAATAATAACTACATATTTACAAACTTAACCCTACAATAATAACTAAATCACCAAACTACCCTTCACTCTTCAATCTTACTCAACTTCGCCGCATACTTCCTCCTCTCGCTACCACCACCACCGCGTCTTTTCCCATTCCTTGTCTCTCCATTAGATCCCACCGCCGCCACTCTCCGAGCAGAAAAGATCACCGGAGACACACATTTCCGGCGACAACGGCATTTATCTCGGCCACAAGAACCACCACTTCTCATGAGAGCAGAGCTAGCTTTAACAGCCAATGCAGCCATTTCCTCGGCTTTAAGAGACTGATGAAGCGAGCTAAGAGGAAGAGCAAAGTAAAGCTGACCAAGCTGAAACTCCTCGTCGGCGCTAATGGCTGATACAACGTTGTCAAAGTCCATATCATCGGAGTTACAAATGAAACACATCGGATTCTTCTGTAACACGTAACCAACTTTGACCGGACTTGTGAACTCCATCATCCTTCCGTCGTGTAAGATCAGCTTCGCCGTCGCGACTTGTGTCGACTCGTACGAGCTGCATATACCCATTGGTTTTGGTTTGACTCAATGAGCCGACTCGGTTTCCGGCGAAAGGGGAATAGTAGAAAGAAGATGAGAAGTGAAAGGTGTTTTTGTGTGTATTTATATATATAGAAAGAAGTGCCACGTAGGATTTGTTTTGTCTTTTTGTGATTATGTGTTTTCAATATTTATTTTGAAGTTTGAACGACCAGTGGGGACAATGACAGGCTGTGTAAGTAAGTTGGGAGGATGACAGCTTTGCGTTGTGATTTCTTTGCCATTGATTTTGGTGTATAATTACGAGTTAGGGACTGTGTTTTAGGAATTGAATTGGTTTGTTCTATTTGACTAATGACGTCTCTTTATTGGGTTAATAGACAGATTATTAAGGATATAGATAAATGGACCAGTTGATATGAGAATGTAAGCTAAGTATGTAAGTCGCATTCGATAAAAAGTTGAAAAAATATTGTATAGTAAGATGTAAGATATTTAGGCGGAGGCGTTAAACTAGAAAATATATTTTGATCCGCTTTAATGATAAACTAGATCATGACCCGCACATACGTGCGGGGTTTTATATTTTTTAAAAAGTTCTAACAAATTTTAATTCAATATAGATTATTTCGTTGTTTCTATGATATATATTTTAGTGTATTAGATCTGGATTCACACGTACGTGCAGAGATACCGTCTCGTAATTCCTATTCTCATTTCATTCCATTAAAATCATGTTCCAAATTCTTGTTTGCTTACTTTTAAATACCGTACAATACATACGGTGAGTTTTGCAGATTAATATATATGCTGCTAAAGTTACAAATATATTTTAACAAATTTATTAATGTTTCTTTCCTTAGCTAAATTTTGCACATATCGTATTTTAGAAATTGTGAAATAAAATTTTGTTTCATATTTTAAAATTTGTAAAAATATTATAACAAAACTGAATCTTAAAATATTGTATTTAATTTTCTTACGAAATTTTAAATTTAATCTTAAAGTCCTCCATTGATAAATCTTTTAAACGATAGTGTTTTTAATTTTGAATTAAAATGATATTATTTTTCATTTTATTTTTGATATAGAATAGTCTCTTACGATTGGTTTAGATAAAATCTTAGTTGGATATCAAATCTTAGTTTTTCAATTCTTATTGGTTAACAATTTTTTAAAAATTAATTTCAAATTTTCGTTTATAATTAATAAGAGGGAGAAAATTAGTTTATTTTTTTGGAAATTAATAATTATTTAAAAGAATTAAACTATTTTTTGTTTAAATATATTAATTTTGTGATTACTATTGTACCCTTAATGAAGTTATTTAAAAACACTAAAAACCAATGGCATTTTTTGTAATATTTTACCTTTTATAAGGTTATTTAATATTTAGTGCTTCCCAATTAATAATATAGATTGGTTTGAAACAGTCGAAAGTCGGATTAGAGATTGCAAAAAGATCGTATAAATGTTTAAATGTGTTTTTTTTAATAGTTATATATGTTTAAATGTTATTCCGGTTTAATTTTTCAGATCGTATATATGTTTAAATGTTTTTCCGTTTTATTTTTGAAGCCTTTTTGTTTCTAGATTTTCAGTTCTCTATCTAGATTTTTTTTCGGTTTTTAAAGTGTTTAAACCCTAAAGTTTTCTCTCTAATGGTTTTTTAATAGAGAGGTGCAAATTGACTATAAACAAATAAATTTTATCAACGTAAGGTATGGTAGTTGGAAGTGTTAGATAAGGTTTGTTGAAAATATTGAATAGTAATTATTTTGTTATATTAATTACCGTTCAACTTTTGTTCGAGTATATTTGTTTCTTTTGTAATTCTATTCTATTTACATCAACCACATATGTTATGTTCGTGATGCATTTAATTTTTGGCTAAAGCGTAGTATATGCCTGATGGTGATCGATGTGGGGATGTGTATAAGTTGCATGATCTGAAATTTATTATCTGATAATAACGTATAATAATTATTTTTAAATCATAAAAAAGAAGGACCATGCATTTCATATATGGTTCTCATTTATTAGTGTTACTTTCATTTTCGTACATGAAGAGATGATTAGCTTTGACATACACTAAGCCCTATGATTTTGATGGCCAAGAAGCTACGAGATTTAACCATTGAATGTTATTTAATTTCATTGTCGAGCATGTAGGGATGACACTAAGACTTGGCAAATTATTCGTTAGATTAGTTTCGATATACTTTTCTTTTTTTGTTAATAACTCTTATCCATCCAATCTTATACAGTATATGATTATGGTTTTGTGGATAGTCTTACGGGTATCTTTTTTATATTTTACTTAAATGTTTTTTAGTTCTTTAACAAGTAGAGGAATATCTTTAACATTTTTTTTTTTTTTAAAAAGAATATGAGTGTGATAGCAAAATTAATTGAATACAGAAAATTTTCTACGTTAATATTTATCAAAATATATATAAAAAAATTTCATGTCCGAATAATTCGTTGTTCGTATGTGTTTAGGTCGATCGTGTGACACTGAAACAATGGGGTTATTTAGTGAAACCCTGTATTTTTTTTTTTTTAAAATTAAAGCCCTAGTATGACTTATAAAACAAAAAGAAAGAACAGATTTGATAATTAATTAACATGTAAGTTTTCCCTATGAAAAGAAGTAAGTGTAAATTCAATTTTCTGATTACATTCTTAAACCTAAACATTTGTAATGTATTAGTTATCTTATCGATATGGCGAAAATATGTAATCTATAATTTTAATTGGAATTAATTACTAAATAAGATTTTTTTAGTGGCATTTATAGATTTTGTCATTTAACCTTAAAATTTTTAGATTTGTCACTTTTAAATATCTAAAACACACAATTTTACATATTATATTTGGGTTTATTTGGTTATATATTAATTTTAGAGTTGTTATTAAAAATATATTTTATAAAAAAATTCACAAATTTATTGATTTTGAAGCGACAAAAAAGTAGCAAATCCAAAAGATTTGATTGACAAAGTGGCATTTTTAATAGTAATTCCTTCTTTCTTTTTTTTTTACCAAAACTGCAATCCCTTTATATTAACAAAATAAGACGTTAGAAAAATAAAATCTTTAAGAAAATAAGTTGAAAATAAAGTAAAACTAGAATTGGTGGCCTTCACGGGGACGGTGGCAAAACAATCTGAGTGATTGGGATATATGACATGGCTAAATCTGCCACGTTATAATAATATGAACGCAATGACGTTTCTACGTTAATAAGCGTTTCCTACCTGAAATTGACAAACCTCTTTGAACGCTTATTATTACCAGTGACATTTCTTTTCATGATTTTTTTTTTTTTTTTTTTTTTGAGGGATAATGTTTTTCGCTTTATATGTAATTATAATTTATGTATGAAGTGTAGTTATTAAGAATTGATGGCTGTTTAGCTGTTAAGGAGTTTAAATGATGATGATGATATGATGGGTCAATGGTTTTAATTGTCAACTAAGCACATTGATGCCAACCACAAGTGACTTGTTCCCTATTAAACTTCTATTTATTGTATTTTTAAACACTTCATGAATACTACTCCAAAAATTCAACCCACATTAAGACATATGTTTGGTCATTACTTAAGGAAAGGTGGATTACAAATTTTAGATTTAAAAAATATATACATGATTAAGTTTTCTGAGTTTTCTCGTGCAATGGAAACAGAAACAGATAGGCATGTTGTTGATTTGGAAGTTAAATATTTTAGTTGTAGCTTTGGAATGTCTAATTAATATTCCACTTGTACGTTGTGTTTTTTTTTTGTTTTTCTTAGAGAATCATTTGGTCTCTTTTATAAATACACTTGTGTCGTGCATACGTGTGCGTAGTTTAGTAATTTATTTGTGAACTGATTTTAGTTAGGCGTAGTTTTCTTTTGCATTGAGTTAAAAAAAAAATTGTTTGCATATTTTCAGTAACTTATCTTTTAAACAATTAAACTTGTAAAGTTTTGCTTTAACAAAAAATTGTAAGTTTTGCATGAAAGGTTTAACCAATAAAAAAATGTTTTGCATGAAATAGAAGAAAAAGAACATGCACTTCGCTTTTGTAAGATGCTTCATGGACGATACATTGATCTTTCTCTCACCCCCAAAAGTTACAAATAACTTTTCTGATAAAAAAATTATAAATATTGAACCGGTCGTTACCTTTTTTGACTAATTAACTGATGTTTTTCTACACGGGTGGCACTGTGGCAGGCTGTAATTTATGAACTATGGCGTGAGAGGAACCGACGTTATCATGATGGTCTCACCTTACTTCCATCTACAGTTGCAAACCTTGTCATTTCCACCATAGAAAATAAGTGTACTGCTTTGCACCAGCTTGGATCAAAAAGTGCTTTACCTATTCTTCAATGCTGGATGCGCATACGGTAAATGAGGGTATTGAGAATTGAGCTGAATTCTCTACTTATCCATCATTATCAAGATATTGGTTTCGATACCTTCTTTTGTTACGTACCTTTTCTTGGTTTATTTTTCAATTCTAGTTCTAGTTTTGGTTCTTGCTTCTTATTTGGTTCTTTGTAAACTTTTTATGTTTAATTTATATAAGAAAACCCTTTCACAAAAAAAAAAAAATTGTAATTTAAAAATCTTAAGACGTTGGTTTTTACTATGTTTTGCATTTTATTAAAATAAAAATAAAGACATCGAACATCGAAGTATCATCACAGGATTGAATGATTGATACATATTAGTAAGTTCAAAAGAAGAAACCAAAACAATTAATTTGAAGGTTTTACTCATAATCCCAAATTATTAGTAAAACCTTCAAGTTGATGTCTCGTATTTTATATTTGAGAATTTATAAAAACGTAAATACTAGTAACACATTAGAGTATTAAAAATACTCTTTTTAAGAATAAAATTTCAAGTTGATGTCTCATATTTTATAATTTTTTTTCTTATATAATTTGGGATTATGAGTAAAACCTTCAAATTAATTTTTATTTAATCTCATTTAAATGTCATTTAATCTCCCAACTTTCAAAAAATGGTCATTTTATACATCAACTTCATATGTGGCTATTTAAAACATGAACTAAACGTTGACTAACAAATTA